CGAAGCAACAACACTTAACCTGGTATTGTATTGGGAAGTCGTGCTCAAGTTATTTAATTAAGAGCGGAGAAAAAAAACCACAGAGACATGAAGACTTATCAGCACCACTTTGTTGAAAACTATTTCACATTATGGTGTGAGCAGTTGTTAGTTATTAGTCTTAATTATTGTATTTTACAAAAGCGTGAATCACCATTGCCTACTTTAGTTGTAAAGAGTCTCAAATTATAAAGATGAAATGTATATAAAAATTATAATTTATAAAAATATAAAAAAAAATTGGATTGTATATATTTTATACTAGTTTAAAATTTAAGAGATACGTGCTTAATGTTACATTAAGTTGGAAATGTAGAAAATTTATATTCTTTCAATTAAAACCTTCTTCGGGTTGATTAAGGTAATATTCAAATAAACATTATGTTTGCTAAAAAAACCGAATACCTATTAAAAGTGTATTAATAGAAAGAAAATTTAATCTAGAACTTTCTCAAGATTAACGTATTTAAGGAGTTTTTAAAACCTGTATTTTATTTGTCAGTACGAAGTGAATTTGTCTCAACATAATATCTATTATTTTACATACAACATAATTATGTTATTTTTAACATCGCGACTTTAGAGACAGGTCTTAAGATCCCGTTGTCTATGACACTGTTATTTTAGATTAAGTTTCTCTTTTCTAATTAGTTCTTGGAGTAATAACTAAAACTCTTCTGTAAAAGAGATTTTTACAATATGTTCAAACGATCTTGTGTTTCCGCCGTCTTATTGTTTGATTGTGTAGTATTCTTTAAGCACAGGGGAATAGCTGTTGTACCCAATGCAACAGACCTCAAAGTTATCTCTTACTGGCTTTGTAGTGTGTTCTCTGATATTATCAGTTTAACTATTAAGTCATTTTCTTTTTATTGCCCTTGTAGGCAGACGAGCATACGGCCCACCTGATGGTGAGTAGTTACCGTCGCCCATGGACTTCAGCAATGCCAGGGGTAGAGCCAAGCCGCTGCCTACCGATACTTAATACCTTAACTTATGAAGGTAGGAAGATACGAAGACGGTAGCTTAATTTTTGTACACATTCTTCACGCGGCGCGTGCGTGTGTGCGTACTGACCGAAGCTCCCATATGTAAACGAGCCGCTAAAATCTGCATTTTTAATTACTAGGATTTTTTTTATTAAATATTAAAATAATAAGTAATTTCGAATTTAATTATTATTATTTTAGTATTTCTATGTAAAATGGTCTGTCATATTGAATAGTAATAAGAGAAATAATTTCATTTTTAATAATTATGTATCAAATGAATATCCACTTGTATATTATTATCGTATTCTAGTTTTTTCTAGGAGATAGTTATAGTTATTATTATTGTAAGTAGAATTCATTTTGTTGGATGTAATAGGTAATTCCTGTTGTGGAATCTAGTATTGTGTCAAATTGTGGAGGATGCGGTAATTTAATGAGTATTGAAGAAAACGAGAATAAATGTTTCAGTTAATTTGTCTTTCTTTCTCCATGTATTCATGGTATACTGTCGACAGATACTAGCATAAAGCAATTAAGCTAATTGTATTAACGCTGCAAGCTCTCAGTAGCAGACGTAACCTCTTAATATTTTCCTATGGAAAGAGTAGTGGTAGTGAATACTTACTACCATAAACATGCGACATGTTACAACGAGATGCCTTCAGCTGTAACACTAGGAGCGGGCTAAGGGACCCTGGTAACCGTACTCGCCGAACTCGACAAAGAGGTCAACGTGCAACCTGACCCATGCATCAGCCCGAGTTTCTCGCCGGATCTTAGCGGGTCGCGATTTCGATCCGGTAGTAGATTCATTCGCGAAGCAGCTGCTCTTGAGTTGTTAGGTCTCCTTCGGAGGCGTTCGGGCGCTTGTTACCAAATCCCACCCCTCCTGGCTGAGCCTTTGCTCGCCCACCTGTCCTGGTGAAACCGGAAAGGCCTTCGGGCCACCAGAAATCCTTCAATCATAAAAAAAGGTTACGATAATAACGAAAAATTGTGTAAGTCTGGTTATCTTTATATGCTAAATGATGTAGGTATATATTAAAAATCGAAATCATTTTTTTCGAAGGTAATGTGTAAGCAATAAACAAACCTACGTTTTATAAGAGTTCAAACACTTTTTTTGTTGCTTGAAGATCTGGAGAACCATCGATGTCTAGTCTACTTACGTGGGTAATACAATTAGGTATTGCCCAAACGTTAATACAAAATATAATTACAACAACATTAGTTCCTCTTTGTTTTGAAATAAAAGAAACCAAATCATTTTTAAGGTTCGTTTTATTCAATGAAACAAGATTACATAAAGATAAAGTCAACGTTTAACCATTGTCAAAAATAATATTAACAGTTATATTCTAAAATTATTATAAATCAAGTCGATTGTTCTAGAAGCTTTCAATGATAATGTATATCGTATATAGACAAGGAAATTTCTGGGCAAATAATTTTGTATGTACGTAGATTCCTAGTGAGCGCTTCTAAATAAATTCTCCACCTAAGTAGTTTCTTCTCTAGTTTCGGGAAAATCTGTTCAATATTTTTATTCAATAAAAAATGTTACCATTTCATTTTACGTTATTAAACCTCTCTAGACAAAAAGTTGTTGATTTTACTTTTAAGTCCTGTATCTTTGAGGTGGTTATTATCTTGTGATATTGATTAGAGCCATGCTCGGGTTCCCAGTGTATACTTTCACTGCCGTTTATAAAAAGAGCGTGGGAAAGTATGCGCGTCAGTGTGCGGCGCGCACTCAGGAACACGATACACGCACGGAAATGTCTACCTGGCTTTGCGCTTTGTATTGAAAATGGTATTTGGATGTTTAGAAGTTTTCTGAGAAAAATTTTGACAGCAAATATAGTTCTATATAAAAAATTCAATAACGAACTGAATAAAATTTCGAATTCTTAATTTTGTAAACAAAAAACCTTTTGTATTTTAATGTATTTTTTTATTGCCACTGTGAGACAATCATGCGTCAGTGATGTCTAGAGCGCGGCTAAGCCGCTGCTCATATCTGCCTATGTTTAGGTACCTGCCTCGACTTTGCAACATTTTCCTTTTCAAAACTCCCAGAACAATGACAAAACCAATACAAATTCACTAACTACTAATATTAATTAAAATTTGTTACACATTTGCCTTATAATCAACATTGTTTGTCCTCAGTCATTTATTTATGATAATTATATCGAAAACCATTATTTACATTATTTAATTTAAATTGTGTGTTTCATACATGAGCTGTAAGAAATTACGTTTATTTAAAAAAAAAAAAACATTAACGTCATAAACAATTTGGAGGGAGGCTGTTAATTTGTATCGTGTTATAAGAGGGTTTTTGGGAATTTTTCTTTCCCCGTTAGAGTGAAACCGTGTTGTAAAATACAGCGTTATAGGACAGTTACCTGTATTACGTTTATAATGCAGCAAAAAAACATCGATCAGCTTGCCTTGTTGATATTTTTAACTCACGAAAGATATAAGTATTAACTTTTTGATGGTTACATCATAATACTAAACATATACATTATTAAACGCAGTTCTTTACAGCCAATGTATTTTAATTATTAAAACATTAAGACAGTCGCCTCGCGTTACTGTCGAATTCAATAGAATTAAAATAATAACACTAACGAAAAAAAAAACCCAAATCTTCGGAAACAATTTTGTGTTAAAAAAATCTAGTGTTTTTAACACAAATTTGTCTCCTATAATATTCATCATAATTGTATTAATAAGGTACATCAAATTGGTTAAAGAAATTACAAATATACAAGACACTAAAATATTCATTGTAATCAATAAATAATGACACTTATCAATGTCGTTTTCTTTTCAATTTAAATATAATTGAATATTATACTGTAATACACACAGACCGAGTGAGAGGGAATTATTTCCGACCTGTAAACATAAAAAACAATGTTCGACTTGTGTAGTTACAGCGCGCAATGTACTACTAGCGAAAGCGAGAGGTCAACGCCCCGTGACGTCACCATACAAAAAACAGCTTTCAATCATGTTACTCTGAGATTGCGCCACTCTCATAAAGCACAAGGTCTTGTTAAATTGAAAATTATATTTTTACGGTCTTCTTATATTGGGCATAAAGCTCTCATTATGAATGCGACCATTTAAAAACAAAATATCCGCATAACTTAAAGCGCAATGATTGAGGTACAAATAGATCACGTGTATCAAGGCGGTTTTAACTTTAAAGATTTTCTTATACCGAAACTTAGAAAGTGTTTTGTTATCAGTTTTTATAAATAAATAAAATGCCATGTTCATTTTAATTTTGTCAGTAACTCAGCCATTGCTTCTAATGTGATATGCGAATGCGTTAAGTGAACAAGTTAGAACAAGTTAGAGTTAGAATTAAAATTTAAATCTCAAAGTTAGTACTAAATATTATTTGAAATAATAATAAAAAAAATATTTTTCAGAACTGACCCGTACTTTTCTATTTGATTAATTTTAAGATTTATCGAATAAACAAAAATAGACTTTCGTGTTCAGAAAATTAGAATCATATTTGGAAAATTTTCAAACTTCTTCGAATTACCACAATTTCAATACGTGTCACAAACCTCGATGCCATTTATTATAAATACGAATGCAAAAATACTTTTTTTTTTTACTTATTCCGATGAGTTTTGACTAGAACGTTCTAGACGTTACTTTCAAAGCCGTTCGATTAAAAAAATATAGTGAGCTCTCGCACATGTCATCCGGACTCGCCACACTGCCCGGCGCATTTGCTACACACACTGACTCCCATCATTCTAGTTTCGTCGCCGCACACGCGGAGCAATGAGGGCGGAATTTCATGTTTATTTGTTTAAAAAAGCAACATTCACTGTGATCGTGCAATGGTAAACAAAAATTTGAACGTAGTTTATCAGAAAGGACTCGATTCACAATATTGTCCGACACGACAGCAATAAAGTAAAAAAAAAAAAAAAACATGACAGAACTCAAACAAAATTTAGAAAAAAAATGTATTTTTTTTAATTCGACGCTGGCAAAATTAGTTTTTTTTTAGTACCGACAGCGGAAAGATCTGCTATGGAGCGGGTGATATTATTCGGTACACCTATGGTACAAATTTTATTGTTCGATACTTGTATATAACGTTTGGGTATATCCTGAAAACATCTTTAGCCAAATTCAGGCATCTGTGAAATACTTTCGTGTTCAATGGCCGACCGCTGTATTGAACAACAATAGGGGGATTTGTTTGTACACAGAACATCCAGACGTGATACATATTTCACTTCTATTTCAATAAATGTCAAAGAGTCCTTTTTGCTAAACTACAGTCGACCTCAACATAAAATTAGGTTACATTCTTCAATATAATAATTCATATCACACACAGTTATCGTGAACGATCTTTTCACAAAAGACGATCTCTTCGAAACAACCGTTGTAGCATGAAGATTAATTAAGGAAATAAATTGACAACATTTATGTCAAAATGTATCGCATTTTAATGAATTACGCTGAGTGCTATCGAGCTAAACTGCGGTGCAATGTATGCGGTTCGTTTCGGTTGTTCCCCTGGTGCTGGTGTTGCCAACTCTTATTTGAGCTTGATTTTAAATTGAAAATTAGAAGTAGGTTTTTAATTAGGTGTACGTTTTCATTTGTGTTTCATAAATCCTATTGTCACTGTTATAGTCGAGCGCTGTGTTGTACACTGCGTGTTTACAGTTCAGGCCCACTTTCTATTATGGTTTTTTACAAACTACCCTCTTTTTAAAAGAATCTGCGTTGTGATCTTCTATCGGTGTCCTGGTGGGAGGTCGGCAGTGAGCTCAGTCGTCCCACTCCCCGTCGCTGGTGGTGTTGTCGCTGAGGTCGGAGTCGTCGTCGGAGTCTGAGTGCAGGGCGCGGCTCCGCTCGTGCAGGGCCCGCGCGAGGGCGCCCGCCAGCCCGCACCCCACGCCCGCCCCCGCCGCCGCCGCCCCCACCCCTACACCGCGCCTCTCCGGCGCCACCTGCCGGAGCAAAAAGTACTTCATAAATCTTTTCATTTATTTTAAACACAGAAAGATGTCGTCGTGGCCTAAAGGATAAGTCGTCCGGTGCACTCGTGTTGAGCGATGCACCGGCGTTCGAATCTCAGGCGGGTACCAATTTTTTCTAATGAAATACGTACTCAACAATTGTTCACCATTGACTTCCACGGTGAAGGAATAACATCGTGTAATAAAAATCAAATCCGCAAAATTATAATTTGCGTAATTACCGGTAGTAGGACCTCTTGTGAGTCCGCGCGGGTAGATACCACCACCTGCCTATTTCTGCCGTGAAGCAGTAATGCGTTTCGGTTTGAAGGGTGGGGCAGCCGTTGTGACTATACTGAGACCTTAGAACTTATATCTCAAGGTGGGTGGCGCATTTACGTTGTAGATGTCTATGGCCTCCAATAACCACTTCACACCAGATGGGCTGTGAGTTCGTCCACACATCTAAGCCATAAAAAAAATCTTTTACTGATTTTTACATAGGTGTAAATTGAACAAAGCAAATCTGAAGGGTGTACTCACGGATCTAAGTTCGACGCCCTGTCGTATCTCGCTCAGCAGGTTGCTCCGGTTGTCCTCGACAGGTGGCGCTTTGGCAACAGGTTCGACTCTCTGTAAATTAAGTAAATAATAAAATTTATTATTATTCGGCAATATTGATGTTGTTCAATACAATGTAAGTAGTACGGTTTGATACTTGATCGTTTTCACACGCCTTGAAGGCGAACATTGACCCCTAATATTGTTTGCTTAACATTGCTCGCTCATTAAAACTAAAAGCACGCTTAATAATAAACGAAATATTAAACGTATCCCGGAACTTTAACAATTCGAATTTAGGTTTGGATTAAAAGAAACCCTTTTAGCGAGCGCATCTGAGATACTCAATTTTTTTTTCTGTAAATTCCTGTAATATCTATACTGATATATAAATCTACAGTGTTTTTTACGGATGTTCCGTTATAACTACTGAACCATGCATCCGACTGACTTGAAACTTGGTATCCATCTAGAAAATACATGTACTTGATGGATAGGCTAATATTTATATGAGTGTTGGACTCCCTAACAATAAATAATCATGATAATTTTAAATGCTTAGCGAAGCGGGCGAGTACGGCAAGTATTTAACAAATTTTCTGTAAAGTGGGGTAACTGTTGTAACTATACTGAGACCTTAGAACTTATTAAGGTGGGTGGCGCATTTACGTCATAATGTCTATGGGTTCCAATAACCACTTAACATCAGGTGAGCTGTGAGCTTGTCCGCCCATCTAAGCAATAAAAAATAAATAAAAGACGAGGCCGAACCGGAAATTTCGAGGTATAGAAAAAAATGTACAGAATAAAGATGTGGACCTTCAAAGTGCTGGCTCCACTACGTATGCTCTCCATGAGTGCGGCGCGCGCGTCCACGGCGACGGCTGCGTCCTTCGGCATCGGGGGGGCGTCCGGGGGCGGGGACGGAGCCACGGGCGCGGGCGGCGGCGGGGGCGGAGGGGGCGGCGGCGGCGGGGGGGCCACGCCCGGTGGCGGCGGAGGAGGCACTGATGGCGGCGCTGACGATGGTGCTGGATAAAGAATAAAACGTGTCATGATTTTTGCTGTACAACTTAATATTAAAATTATTATTATTCATTTACAATGAAAACATTTACTTCAGATTGTATAGAACATAAATGAAAGTACATACTTGTTGAACGTCAAACTACCGCCAATTCACAAAAACTAGCCTCCGTCCTGAGAAGAACTGGCAAGAAACTCAGCGGGCATGTTTTTTTTTTTTATATAAGTTTTTTTTTATATTCATATATACAAATAAGTGCATAGTAACCGTAAAGAATTACTCTTCAGCTGACGCTGAGAGAAACAATGATCACAAGATATATTGGTGTATAGTATGTGTGCACTCACGGGGCGCGGGTCTGGGCGGCGGCGGGTTGCGGGCGACGGAGGCGGGCGGCGGAGGGGGAGGCGGCACGGCGCGCCCGGGCGGGGGGGGCGGCGCTCGCGACGCTACACGTCGGCAACAGACACATTCGATAGTAAACATCTGCGAAACCCTATCTCTACATAGTTACTAACGGTACCAACGATTAGTATTCTGATTTGCCTTACATTGGGCTGGCTAGTGAGGGCCGTTAGTAACACAACTTGTGAAGTGAAATAATCGAATTGTTTTCTTCACACTAAATATTTGTAATTTGTTAATATCAATCGGTTCAAGGCATGAATAAGTTGATTTGTTTGATTTTGTTAAATGACCATTAAATCAATTAGGTAATTAAAAGTGTACATTAAAAATGTCAAGTGAACGTTTGCACGTGTCGCGGCGTGCTGTACGTACGTGGTGCGGGGGGGTGCGGCAGGGCGGGGCTGCGCTGCGGGACGGGGGGTGCGGGCGCGCGGGACGGCGCGCTGCGCTCTGCGGAACATCGATACGTACGGTCAGCGTAGGGATAGAGTGGAAAACTAAAATATTACTGGTGGTAGGAACCTCTTGCGAGTCCCGCGGGTGGGTACCACCACCCCGCCTATTTCTGCCGTGAAGCAGTAATGCGTTTCGGTTTGAAGGGCGGGGCAGCCGTTGAAACTATACTTGTGTTTTTAGAACATATCTCTCAATTTGGATGGCGCATTTACGTTGTAGATGTCTATGGGCTCCAGTAACCATTTACAGGGCGGTGGTACCTACCCGCGCGGACTCACAAGAGGTCCTACCACTAGTAATTACGCAAATTATAATTTTGCGGGTTTGATTTTTATTACACGATGTTATTCGTTCACCGTGGAAGTCAATCGTGAACATTTGTTGAGTACGTTAGAAAAATACGTTACATTAGAAAAAATTGGTACCCGCCTGCGGGATTCGAACACCGGTGCATCGCTCAACACGAGTGCACCGGACGTCTTATCCTTTAGGCCACGACGACAAAAAACGACGACGATTTTCAAAATTGATCATACCTTTGATTGGCTTCTCATTGTTTGTGTGCAGATCCTCCATGACAGCGTTAATGCCACCGTTCGTCTCTATGAAGCTGTATATGAATTTCCTCGTCTCCTGGTCGCGGAGGTGGACCTCCGAAACTCCTGCCTCCTTCAGAAACGACAGGAGCTTCTCGTCCTGCGTGGTCTCCACGTCGAACCCTGAAAACGTTAATATATTTATTACTAAGATAGGTGAACGAGCTCACAGCCGACCTGGTGTTAAGTGGTTACTGGGGCCCATAGACATCTACAACGTAAATGCGCCACCCACCTTGAGATATAAGTTCTAAGATCTCAGTATAGTTACAAAGGCTGTCCCTACCATGGCTGGTCCTACCACCAGTTCAAATCCAAATCTATCCTATCCAAATCTCGAAAGTGGAATCATTGTGATGAGAGTGTCTGCACCAGTGGACATCACCAGGTCCTGGTGCGAATAAGTCGTGAAGTCATCCTGCGTAACGCTGTGACTACTGCTATCGTAACATAACTGAGACTTAGACTTCATGGCTACAAATGAAGAGGCGATGTTGTACGTCGATCGATTGGATTATATCGACATTAGTTGGATCTCCACACATGAAATTGGGTGGGTTGTGGTTACTTTAGTTTTTCTTCGAGTTTAAATGTGTAATCAAAGTTGGTTAGGAGTTGTTCAACATCAGTGAAGGTGTAAAAGTGTGGGAAAATTAAACGAAGCCGCTGGACGTGGCTTCTCGGGTTCTCCCAAAAAGTCCCAATAGATAACCACAATTTTACTGAAACTATATTATATCATAGAATAAAATTTTGTTTCATTTAATTTTATCCCAATTGATTAAAGTCTCAAATCAATTAATTTCACCCTATTTTACTTCATATAACAGAATATTAGTATGCATTTTACAATTATTGAAGATTTTAATTATTTCGACACTGGCAACAATGGCGTCGCAAGAAGCCAATTGCCATACCTAAAAAATAAGTGAGATAAAAAAAAAGATCCACGCACCTTTATCTTTATCCCACCCGATGTGAGAAACGTGCGTGAAGTTGTGAGGCATCCCGATGTCGGCTTTAGTCAATTTCCTTGTCGTTTTCCGTTTTCCGGAGCTCTTCAGTGTGTATGTACCTGGGCGATCATTACAAGTTATTACACATACTCTCTGATACATATTGTAGATGTTGCACTAAAATTCCCATGTCAAATAATGACAAAGCATACACGCTGCTTTTAACTTATGTAATAACTCTTTTTTTTTATTGCTTAGATGGTGAACGAGCTCACAGCCCACCTGGTGTTGAGTGGTTACTGGAGCCCATAGACATCTACAACGTAAATGCGCCACCCACCTTGAGATATAAGTTCTAAGGTCTCAGTATATTTACAACGGCTGCCCCGCCCTTCACACCGATACGCATTACTGCTTCACGGCAGAAATAGGCAGGGTGGTGGTACCTACCCGTGCGGACTCACAAGAGGTCTTACCACAAGTATAAAACCACCACTATGCTTAGCGAATAAATGATTTCTTTCTTTCTTTCTTAGAATGTCATAGAATGCCATTGATCTAACACAACACACAACATAACAGCGAAAAAACCCCTTTACTTAGGTCGGCATTTTCTTGGGGTCTTAGTCTTGGGATCTTCAGTGCGGTATCCCGGAGCACCAGAGGTACCGCCCGGGCGCCCGGGCGACCGGACGGGCCGTCGTCCGTCGGGCGTCCTAGTAGTGGCGCAGCGAGTCTAGTTGTAGTGTTGACAACGGGAACCACTCTGCCCGGGTTCTGAGCTCGAGTAGAGATCGGACATGCGGTGAGAGAGTGCAAAGGGAGTAGTTTGGTGGGTAGGACTTTAAAAACATCGTAGGCTCGCGACCTGTTCCCGAAATCTGCGTACCGTCAAGACCCACATACCCCGCGCGCCCCTTGGACGCGAAACGCATGAAGTTCGCCTCCCCCGCCCTGCTAAAAAGTCGGCATTACTTTACATCAGATGATCATGAATATAGGCCATTATAAGTAGTTTTTACCTGCTAAATTTGTTTTCGGTGGGAGTACGGGGGCGGGCTCCGGTTCCGGTGCGGGGGGCGGGGGTAGGACGCCATTTTGTCTCGGCTCCACCACGCTATTGGCCCGTGCCGCCGTTAAGGCACGTTGCCTCCTTTCTGAAAAATAAGAATAGTTTTTTATACGTTATTTACATCCTGGCTACGAGAACAATCACGGGTACTAAGTGGAAACTATTTCCTTCACATCTCTGAATTTTTACTTTTTCAAGCTTCTAAAACACTAAAATGTTATTTCTAGTCGCTATTCCGAAGGTTACTCAAAATCTATATATATAAAAAAAAGTCGTGTTAGTTACACTATTTATAACTAAAGAACGGCTGAACTGATTTGGCTGAAAATTGGTGGGGAGGTAGCTTACAACCAGGACAAGGATACTTTTTATCACGTTCCCGTGGGACGTGACGTAAAACGTGGTATAACAAAACGCAACTGATATGGAATAACAAAACGCAACTGACAGCTAAACGTAATGTAGTCTATGGTTAATTATAGTAGAATTTTGAAGTTGACCGGTCGATGTGTTCGTTTCGAGTTTCTATTAGCTTATTGTGCTGAGACAGGTAATCATTACGAAAGCCATCAACACGATCAAATCTTTCCCGACGAAGCCGTAATGCAACTAGTATTCGAAACATTGCGAGTGAAGCGACTAAAGAAGAAACAAGAAATAAAAATATAAGGATAATAACTAAAATAAATGACCAATAAAGAATCATTAAAATACTTCCTTTTTTAATTTACACTAATTATCCAAATTAGAAATTTGACCCTGATAAAATCAAGTCTGCTCATTTATTGCCTCTAAGACGGAACAAATTCGTCGGGTCTGCTAGTCAAAGATAAATAAAATATAAGAAAACCTTATTTCTTTGTATTTTGTGTGTGTTTTATGGCCTTCATATACAGGCGAGCTAACGGCCCATTTGGCGTTATCTTCTCTTATCATTTTATCGTCTCTGTAGGACATTAGCATTATACAGCCAAGTCGCTACCTACGACTGAAGACTATTTTCGAGCTTGGTTTAGAGAAAAACATATCATAGCGCTCAGTTATAAGAGCCGAGCGTTCATTCCAGAACTACATGGTTTCATTTGCAAAGCTGCTCTTGAGTTGTAAGGTCTCCTCCGGAGGCGCTCGGGCGGTGTTAGAAAGTTTTTTACTGGTTGTAGTACCTCTTATGAGTCCGCGCGGGTAGGTACCACCGCCCTGCCTGTTTCTGCCGTGAAGCAGTAATGCGTTTCGGTCTGAAGGGTACGGCAGCCGTTGTAGATGTCTATGGGCTCCAGTAACCACTTAACATCATCTCAAACAATTCGGAAATAAATACTTTTCTCTCTTCTACTACTTCTCCGTAAACAACTTCGGAAGGTACGTATTCATTGTAAAAGTACCAACGCCAAGTACAAAGCGGGGTGGTGGTGCAGTATATTAAATTTGTTATTTAATAATTCACTTTTATTTTTATTTGCCCTTGTAGGCGGACGAGCATACGGCCCACCTGGTGGTGAGTGGTTACCGTCGCTCATGGACGGTAGAGCCAAACCGCTGCCTACCAAAATTTCGACCATTTGATTCATTTATAGTATAATATTTTTACTTTAAATTGTGTTATAACATATCGCCTGTATTGTGAGACCATGTATGACATGATACAAATATTACGAACGGCGTATTTACAAATAAATATAGACGTACTTAAATCCGACAAGTACAATGAGGAGTCTTTTAATAAACAATGCACGCACAACAATGACAAACGTGATATCGGTAAATGCGCTCGTCTTGTGACGTCACGTGCAGTGTGACCACACTAGACGAAGACCTGAGACAATAAGTTTTTTGGAACGAAGTTCCTTATGGGACGATGCGGAGGGGTACCCTAACCGGGAAAAAACGTGCGTAACGTAAGATTTTTATTAGTAATGCACACAGTGTACGAGTTCACTTTGTAATAACGTACAAAAAATAACATATTTTTTTATCATTCATTGACCACGATTTCAGAGCGTTCGTTTGCGCAATACACTAACTCTTATGCAAACAACCGTGAATGAGGTGTACCACAATAAGTTCGCACGTTACCGAATGACCGTGGGTTATTGCGAAACCTCCAGTTTTATTTTCTTTATACCTCGAATAGAACTTAAAATAAATATTTTTATAAAAAGGAACTTCGTTCCTATCCAGTGTCCCACGACACCACACATTTTTTTTATTAGATTGCCTATAAGGCAAGACTAAAGGAAACTAAACAATAATGAAGCAAATCATTCATGTCAGTTGTGCATCGTGTTTTGGAGAGTACGACAGTAGTCATGAAATACCATTGACAGTTAGACATCAAACTTTACACCCGATGGGCTGTAAGTTAAATCAAGTCAGATAAGACAGTAAAAAACAACAATTTAATTGTATTGTAAAAGTTAAATGAAGCTATATAGATTTTATTATAAGTAATCGTCGAGTGAATAGCAACAAACATATAGTAAAGCATTATGTGGCCAAGGCAGTGCCACAGATCAGAATTCGTAATTTCCTAAGACATGCATTTGGCTTTGACGATTATGCTTGCGATTTCATTTTTTGAAACAAAGTTATACATACATATTTTATTTATCGTAATTTAATTTTGACTCAAAAGATAATGCGACATCGCTCGACTTTAATTTGATGAGGCACAATGAGAACAAGAAAAAGGGTCGCTGAATGTTAATGAAACAATATTTATGGTAAATACTGTAAGTAGTGAAATTTACCTTCTCTTCTCGTCTTTCTTAATTCAATCTTCTCGATTAGAATCTTCTTTAGGATCTGAGCTTCTTCTTCATTGGCGAAGTTGAATGCTGTCATGTACTCCTAAAACAGTGGTGTGCACCTTAATTAATAATTAATTTAGGCAACAGGAAACCGGACAGTCAATTGATTATGAGTTTGCTGCGAAAACTTGCTCAAACATCTCAATAAAACTTCATTCCTTATGACGTCATTCGTGGCCAAACTAAATGTCGGGCTAATAGTAGACTACAGTATTAATAGGGAAAGATTAGCTACATATGACGTCATACGTTATGATGACGGGCACAATATTACGTTTCAGTTTGGAGGGCAGCGGGGGCAGCCGTTGTAACTATACTTGAGACCTTAGAACTTATATCTCAAAGAGGGTGGCGCATTTACGTTGTAGATGTCTATGGGCTCCAGTAACCACTTAACACCAGGTGGGCTGTGAGCTCGTCCACCCATCAAAGCAATAAAAAAAGCAAGAGCAGTGCTTCGCTGAATTTACCACCGGGTCGGAATCGCATCATACTGACAAGATCCGGCGAAAAACTCAGCGGGCTGTGTCTATGTGTTATTTCGCTATAATAATCTGCAACACAAACAAACATAAGCAATTTTTGTTATAGATTGCTTTGTAATTGTTATCACGTTGCTTGACTTCGAATATAATTTCCTTAGTTAAACATTAATTACGACTGTGCGGGGCTAGCGACAACAAATGTACCTATTTCCTCCTTAACGACGTCATGATTTTGAGACCTTACTCTGCGCATCTAGAGTTCTTTAAAATTCAATTTTAAGGCAACGTAGTATGACAAGGCAAGGCAATGGTAATGAAAATGGCCCTGCAAGCAAAGACGCAAGGTACTATGACGATTTTTTACGATCAGATGAATGGTTTGAAATTTAAAAAAATATATATATATATATTTGCTTCTAAAAACAGGAAGTCACGTGCGTGTTCCAAAATATTATATTTTTTTTGTTTTTTTTTTCTTGCTGTAGGTATATGGACAAGCAAACGGTTACAGGGGACACGCGGTCGTTGTGCTAAATAGACACGCGACACACAACGAACGGTGCCGCCTATCTTGAAACATTAGTTCGAACTCTCATTCTATTGTAACAAATCTCCTACCCTTGAAGTCAAAGCGCGTAAATGCTTAGTCGCAAAAACGCAGGTATTCAACACACACACACAACCTAATTCTGACGGTTTACCTTTATTATAGGTATATTTTAAAAAAACGAAACGTCATAGTCGCGTCGTAGGGTTTCTTATCTATTAGGTCACGGACGCTTATTGTTCACAAACACAATGAATGGACGAAAAAACACATGTACCGATTTCCCATTAACACGTTCCCATAAGGAAACAATGATTCAGTTGTTGTTTATAAACCTATAAATGATATCCCAGACAAACGATTATTTACGTAAAGTGGTTCCCTGAATTGAAATACTAGTATTAAGGAAGTGTATTGACGGTTTGTAAATAATAATATCTTCGCAGGTTCCCGCAGGCGCCGTGACGCTTATGAAATGACAGAACCGCGAACCTTACAATCTTTTTTGAAATCGAGAGATTTCACTAAATTTCTTACGCAATGCGATGTTAATCAAATCATCACTCATTCATAGAAGAAATTAATAGACTAATAACTAGGGTTGCCAGATTTTTTCAGCCTATAAAGGGCAAATGCTTAAATAGGCAAAAAAAAACGGGAATTTCGTTTTTTACCCGGGACAAATGAAAATTTAAATCCAAGGAGCAAGTCAGTTTTAATATATTTTTATCGGTTTTAACATATTTATAAAAATCAATACAATTATAATCGTACGGTTCGAATACGGGACAGAGTCAGTCTCGCCGGGATTTTAAACTAAGCCTAAAATACGGGACGTCCCGGGAAATACGGGACGTCTGGCAACCCTACACATAACGGTTAGAGTTAATTGCAGTAGTGTCAACTATTTTAAAAGATTTGAAAAAATCGAAAGAAAAAATGTAATCCCATAATATATGAACATAATTTTAATAGAGAATATTGAACAAACTACTATACCTCAATATACTATTAGTTCATTCTGTGTGGAATGAAACGTAAAAAGTCAAGAAATATTATTTTTTGAAAAGTAGACGGTAGTTAGCACAATAACACCTTAGTCGTCCATGACCATGAAAACTAAAGTATTCTCAAAACGTCAGAAATAATGAAATGACAAGAAAAACTCATGATTAAACTGTAAAGGTATTTTTAATTATCACTGAGAAAATACATTTCAATAGGTTTTATTACCATTAGACTGAATTATACTGTATGCATACGAACGCGGTAACCAACAGTGATCAATCAGGTTTGCAGATATCTTCAGCAATCAAGCATCTATGTCAATGAAAACCAACACAAAGTTGGTCCAAGCAAATAATATGGTTATAGGCATATCATGAGATATGAGTACACCAGATGTTGCTTTAGGCCAAGACAACTTCATTATTATTATTATATGTACTATAAATACAATATTACATTATTTACTTTCAACATAGTTTTAAGCTTACCTCAGCTTCGAAAGTGTGTAAATAAGGCCTTGGGTTCTTATATTCTATCTGCATATAAACTTCGTGCTCCCATATCATTGCTTTTCGGTACAAACAGTAAATCCTGAAGAAGTATGAGCGCTTGCCATTGTCCTTTATAAGGCACAGTACACCAGTATCTCTCTTCTTCCATTCAGAATGTGCTGGACCTTCAGTTGTGAAGAGTTGAACAACTGTAGTTGCTAGACTCTGAAAACATTTTAAATTTTTAAATTATGTGTTGCTTGTGATGACTATGAAAGAGAGGGTCTTTCATCAGGCAAGTTTATTTTCCAGACAGCGGCCCGCAACGTATGTCTAAATCAGAAAATAGTTTTGAATATAAATACTATTTTTTGGATACTACAATTCTTTGTCAAAATATAGGTATATTTTTTGGGCAATTCTCGGAAAGTATGTAGGCTTACTGGTGGTAGGACCTCTTGTGAGTCCGCGCGGGTGGGTACCACCGCCCTGCCTATTTCTGCCGTGAAGCAGTAATGCGTTTCGGTTTGAAGGGTGGGGCAGCCATTGTAACTATACTGAGACCTTAGAACTTATATCTCAAGGTGGGTGGCGCATTTACGTTGTGGATGTCTATGGGCTCCAGTAACCACTTAACACCAGGTGGGCTGTGAGCTCGTCTACCCATCTAAGCAATAAAAAAAAAATTGATGATGTGATTCAAATTTTCATTACAAATGCAAATCCTAAATCTGCCTAAAGCTCCCAAAGGGTATCTGATTTCACCAAATGACAGATTATTGTCACTATAGTATCTAGGCATATATGTAAATGGGTATTCTAAGATATTTTTAAGAATAAAAATCTTTATTTCAGTCGCAGATAAAATCCAATGCCCTGAGACTTCAATCTTGTTTTTAAAGGTAACAGAAACGAGATTATGGTATATATGTTGCTCCAAGAACTATGTATCGTACCACATTTCAGATTACTTTAGATAATATATTGAATAACACAATTCTTTTCTGAATCATTGAGTCTGTGAGTCATAATTATATTGAATCACATAAAAATATGCAAATCAGATACTAGTAATGAGGTGGGAAATATATTTTTATTGATAGTAGCTAACAACAGAGCTGACCCCGTATATTATTGATATAAGTAGTATATGAAGACCCATAGATAATATGGAGGGGTCCAAATGATTTGTGATTTTTTTATGTTTAATGATTTTTCATATATTTCAATAATTTGAAGTCGTAATGGTTTTCTTGTACAATAAGGTATAAGAGATGAGTTGCGCTTTGAAATTTGTTGACTGATGATTTAATACTTGAAATTGTATAGATAATATTTATACAGACACTCCCAACAAACAACCTTTTTTATATTGGATTTATTAAATTTCTAAACTATAATCCACTATAGTAACATGTGTATGTATATTATGAATATATTGTATAATAGACAAGACATGCAAAACCAGTTGTCGTAATAAATACTTCACTGAGATCTGATATAGTAACAGACTTTCACTGTATGTCTTTATGGGGTGAAATTTCTATCATATGCAGGCTTTGAACACTTTCACGACATGACTGGTCTTAATACAATTACAGAAGAATTACAGAAGACTGACTTTTTAAGATGTACTTTTGACTCTTTTAATTAGTGTTTTATTTTATAATTCAAACTGGGCAGCTAATAGCACACATGACATGGAATTATCAGTCTATAGAACTCCCAATATCAATCATAATTGTTTTGCCCCAAATTTTTCACATTAGAAATACATAGGGACAGTTTCCACTGTTCAGAGGTTCACAAATACTAAACATACTTTTTTAAATTAAGTATTTGAATTTCGTTTAGATTCCATTACTTTTATTTATTTCAGTGTCTTATATGATTGTGTGAGATTAGTTTAATGTAAAAAAAATCCATATCTGTGGGTTTTGAAACCCCAATATGTGAGTTAATAATCATTTAGAATTTACGTTAGTTGAATACAGTCAAAATCTGTTATAATGACATCGAAGGGACTGCTCATATTCAGTCATAAAAACCGATAGTCGTAACAACTGGTGATGTTTAATGTGTATCGTGCAAGTACAAACAAATCGATAGGGAATTATTGGAAAAATATATTTACATAATACGCAATTTTTCTTCAATATTCATTTGTTTTCTTTTTCTTTGCGAGATTTTGAAAGTTTCACGAATAGCTCCACAAAGTTTTGGTGCGTCTTGTGTATAGATAAGTAACAAACTAACTGAAGAGATATGAAGAAGTGGGCTTTGACTACCGCATGCACGTGTTTTGTTTCTAAGAATTAGAAAAGACCCTACACTAAACTAAATCCTATTGTTTTCTTTCCTGATTTTAAAAGCCATTGAAGACAAATGTGGATACCTATTCAAATTGTTTACAATACAGCTTAGCCGGTCGTTCTAACAGATCTAATTCTCCGAAATATTAGTTAAATGTNTAGCCGGTCGTTCTAACAGATCTAATTCTCCGAAATATTAGTTAAATGTGGTCGTTTTATGAGGTATGTCGTTATTACCAATGTCGTAGAAAGCAATATTTTTAATAAGGCGGTCATATGGCATTCAGCCGGGACCTTTGTTCTTGGTTATTATAACCGGCATGTTGTATTAAACGATGTCGCAGTAAACGGTTTTGACTGTATATAGTTTGTTGTACACAGAAAATATAAAAAAAATATAAAAATTCTTAGTTGAGTTTTGTATTGACCAGTAATTTAATTCCTAAACATTGCTTGGGCCTGAAATGTCAAGCATTGTAGTCGGTCGGTTAAGTTCCGAGGGTTTATCAAAAGCCTTTTATACTATTAAAAAATTAAAATGATTTGTAATTTTCATTAGATTTAAAACAAGACATTTAACGTTACAAGGAACAAGATAATATCTTAATCAATCATCCAGGCGATAGAATAGGACGCAAACAACTTTATCGTTTAGATAGCATGAGATAATACATTGATAGGGCTATAGATACGTAATCAAGGTGGACTGATTCAACGCGAGCTACTTTCATGAAGGATCTAAAAAGGATGATTAACTCACCTGACATTTTGGTCCTATTAGGCTGAACACCTGTTCGTTCTCCTCGCGTGACAGGAGATTTGTCGTTCTGTGCTCTCCCCTCGGCATCTTGCTTGCCTAACGTAGATATCACACATAAAATCACTATAAACACATGAAAACTGATGTGTCAGCTCAAACTCTTCTGCATTTTAATGTTGTTTTGTTCGTTTTATCTAGCCGCTGTTTTTACTGGGCCCATGTAAACATTTCTCATAAAATGGAAACATTCATCTCGAAAACTAAAAGTTCTTAGGAAACCGTTCTGATTTTGCAAATCTTCACTTTCTCCCTCTGTGAGCGTAATAAGTTACTGTGCTGTTTGATCTGATTCAATGTGTATAGTGTATAGTCTATGGATTTTATTGTGCTCACAGACTATATGCTAAGTGTCGAGTTGCCAAGCATTCGCAAATTTGTTTTTATTTACCTACATAATTTATGTGTACTATCTATGATCGATATCACTGAAGTAGGAAACCTATGGAAATGAAACGTCAACGAAAAATTCGTGCCACTGTGACGTCATCTGGCCACAAAACATGGCGGTTTTAGTGCTGCCCAGAAGATTTTAATGTTAGTAGATTTTATCGATAAACGTTCTTGGCTTATTTTATTTTAAATATTGTTGAGTATGAATGTATTTGTAGAATTTATACTTTAATAGGAAGTAAGTATATTGTTATGTGCAAAGATGATGTGATTTAGATATTATGTGAAATCTAAGACGAGTTCGTGCTTCAAATTTGCCAAGTAAACGATATGACGATTTTTAAAATTTGCTACACTGATTTTATAAAGTTGTCGTTTGCCGCAAAACATAAAGATATGGCGTAGTACAGTGCCATCTGCCCATTTCTAGCATGCTGAATGTTATCGTATTTTGAGTACGTGTTTTTCTTAGACTATTACAATCTATTTTAATTGTTTTGCTGACTCTAAAGTCCGTAACACACTACCGCAGCGCACCTCAAGGAAGGTGCGCCGCACCATTTGAATCACTCTCACTTGAGAGTGATTCAAATTTTAAACTTATCAAGGGACCGCCTGATAAAAAAAAACACCTACAGAACATTTATTCGTTAATAAAATTACAAACGTCATTCCTTGTGACTTCCTCTCTAAAATCACTTAATTATTAAATATTTAACGAGTTGACAATAGTGTTATAAAACTATTTTATTTAAATAGTTCCGACGACTTTCTTGAGATCCTATAAAATATGTTTTAATTATTATTTTTGTATGTTTTAAGCATGATAAAATAAGAAATTTTATATAAGCAATCATATTAAATCGATATCAAAGTCAATAAATAATGTACAACCCAAAACAGACGGCCGAACTGACGTGACAATGACATTTGGCGCGCTAAACATGGCGGATTTTCGGCCTCATTAGACGGAGACGGAGACATTTACGTATATTCATGTTTCATTTTATGTACGCACTGAAATACTGTTATATTGTTTTCCTGCGAGTTAAAGTGCTGAGTAAGAACGAGATAGATATATGTTTATGTGTGTGCCTTCAAAATGGGTGCTATTTATATAAGCAATTGTACGTATAGAACAATATGTCGTGTCCCTACTATATAGGTCTATGATCGATATAGACATATTAGGAATATGGAGGGTAGAGGTAAGGACAACCGTCTCGGTGTGTGAAAAAGTGTCCGTTAAAACCGACTAAATAAGGGTGGCGCTACAGTAGCAACCGGGTAAATTTTTAAAAAGGCCTTGAAAGTTATTAGAATAAGATAGAGAAATAAAAAAGGACGAAAGACCTGTAAGCACTACAAAATCACAAAAGGTATATTATTTAAAGCTGATAAGAAAATGCAATCGATCTCTCCACGTTTTACCAGAGCAATAATTTTATGTTATATTGACGAAATTAGTTTGGACTACGTAAACTTGTGTATTACACTGTCACTAACTACTCTAGTCATTAAATATATTAAATTTCCTAAGTCAGCATACTTCAATCGGTTAAAAACTGCTCAATTCATTTCATTCATATTCATATCATACCCTGTGCCTATGCTAGCGCCATTCTGGAGGATTTTTGAACTGTTAGTTATTGCTGAAAGTGCGACACTTTTTCAAGCTTCTTCCATATGAGACGGTTCTCCTTACCTCTACCCTCCATAATTAGGAAGACGAAAGAGGTGTCATTTGAAAGCTAACGATGTAGACAATCAATTTTTTCACAAGTTAAAAAAGTATGTATTAATAAAATAAAAATTAAATGTTTTATTGCATTTTTTTTTGTTTTTAATTTTTTTCATGAAAACTAACACTGTTTTTTTAATAGTGAAATCCAATTGTGCTTACTTTGTTAATTTATTGTATTAGCATAGCCGGCCACGTCTTAGTTAAAAACAAAAACCTTAGTCACAGCAACGTGTGGCCGGGTCTGCTACTATTATAATAAATCTTGTCGCAAGACCTTTGTACGGACACTGGACTGCCTATGTCACGCATTTTTGGTTGGAGCGATTGTTGAATTTCAAAGCCTGGCAATACTAATTCGTGAACGGTTTTCAAGGAGAGAAAACTCGCATTGACAACAAAATTTTCTATATATTTTTATTTATTGCTTAGATGCGAAGACGAGCTCACAGCCCACCTGGTGTGAAGTGGTTACTGGAGCCCGCAGATATCTACAACGTAAATGCGTCACCCACCTTGAGATTTGTTCTAACGTCTCAGTATAGTTACAACGGCTGCCCCACCCTTCAAGCCGAAACGCATTACGGATTCTCGGCAGAAATAAGCAGGGTGGTGGTACCTACCCGTGCGGACTCACAAGGGGTCCTACCACCAGTGATTACGCAAATTATAATTTTGCGGGTTTGATTTTTATTACACGATGTTATTCCTTCACCGTGGAAGTCAATCGTGAACATTTGTTAAGTACGTATGTCATTAGAAAAATTGGCACCCGCACGGGATTAGAACACCGTTGCAGCGAATGCATTGGACGTCTTATCCTTTAGGCCTCGACGACTTTAGTGTTGGCATTGGCAATGCGATCTTAGCATATATTTTCATTTATGTTTAATAACTGATAAAGTAGATTATTCGGCTGATAAGCAGATAAGTGAAGAACTATACCACTAAGGATCCTATACTATAAACACATACAGACCAATTATCACTCCCATACAGTATATGTTCAAATAACACAATTGCAATATTTTTTTCATTTTTTATTCGTGTTTCATACGGCCTCACGGCTACTCAGATACAAAACGATACAAAATCGTTAATTCTAACATTATGCTAGATTACAAAAACAACATTGTTTTTTAATACAATTGCACCACTGCACATCCACAGTTACTTCGTTATGATTTCACTAATCTAACATAATCACATAACGACAACAGAATTATTGCATAAGATACATTATTTTAAATAATTTTTAAAAAGGCATAAGTACAAAAGATGACTTAAAACGCTCGCATATCTATATCTACTGTGTATCCAATAATAATAATGTCAGCGATACTATTTGATAATATTTTTTTTTATATAATTTTGGGGCTTCTGTAGCAATTACATAGTTTTACTTTTGTGCCAAACAAAACTATTCTGTCATTGTGTATATATGTATTTTTATTTATTTATAATAAGTGTAAGGTGAAGTTTATTGTAAAACAGTAGTCTATATTATGACCTAAATGATAATATGAGACAACTATTGCAACCGTACCAAACATTGTGTCATAGTATTCAGACGCCCATTAATTTCAAAGACACTTTAATTAATGTGGATATTGTGTTTAATCCTAATTTAACACGGTGTCTTTTTTCATCATAGCAGTCTTCAGAGCACTTGCTATAATAGGCTGTATGAGAAAAATTATGTATGGACACTTCAAACTATTTACATAACAGCTATGTAACTTCAGGTGCGTTAGCTAAACTATAAAACCACTGACCTCTAAATATTATAGAACTAGATTGGCTGTTCTATTTATATCACAACTAATAAAATGTGCCGCTTGGAAGCTTTTAAATTAGCAAAAATTGCTTAAAGCACCAGTAAGTTGATAATAAATCTTTGACATTAAACTTAAATTTCTATTTCATACATCCGTTTTAATCATTATTCGCATTGATTCGTGTTGACAAGTATGAATAGTTTTTTTTTTTAAATATTAATTATTCTTTTAATGATTGTAACGGAACTAATTTCAGTAAAGAAAATTAAACCTGCTTTAGTTGAAATTTTTTTTTTCGTTGTTTTCGATGTATTTGTATAGAAGGAATACATTCTATGAATTCAATTTTGGGTTGTCGTTCATTAACCACGTTTCTAATGTATACAACTATACATTTATTTAAAATTTATGGCATGTAAACAATTTCAAAGAAAAATATCTAGCCTGCACTAATATTCGTTGTTTACATAACACAAATTTTTGAACTATGGATTCTGTACTTACTGTGTACCTGCAGCGACGATAAGACGTAAATCAAAAGCAAAAAAGTTGCCACTGTAAAACCTTTCTTTAAATAATATTAAAATAGCTAGAATTCAGTGATAAAACGCGGCTCATTTGCATTATATTCACGAATTTGTCAACATCGTACTTCAGTAATAATCAGTTAATAACATTATAATTACTTTTGTACGACATTTTGGAACTGTAAATCACGATGTATTTAAAAATAAATATACAGGACTAATAAATATAAATAAATACATTTACACAGCCCGAACTACAACTATCCTAATTCTAATGATACCAGTACAAATAAAAAGCTACTAAATATAAAATGGAGATCTAGAAGAATGTTGTAAATTTATTAAGTGTAGTAAATCGACATTCGTAATTAAACGTGAACACGTCATCTTAACAGCTAAGTAGTTACATTAAGATGTAATTTAAACAATTAACCGAGCCTCACAAACATGAATTTAAAGTAATAAACAAATTAAAAAGCGCTTTAAAAAAAATGCTTTCTTTAAAGCAGCACCGAATAACTTGGATATTCAGTTTATTTTATGTTTGGTTTCATGTACCACATCCAAATTGTGAACATTGATGACTTAGCACGTCCCTACATGGTAGAGCGTGTAGATTGCTATGAAACGCCAGTATGTACGTCAATTAAATAATACAATTAAATCACGGAGTTTAATTACTATATGAATCATAAATTTTTTTACATTTAAAACGGATTGAAAAAAAAAGATACAATGAAACCACGGAGTATAAATAAATGTATCATCAAATTTTTTACATTTAAATATGGTATGAAAAAAAAAACATTTTTTTCGTTAGGCAATTTCAATCACAGTTTCACAATGTCGAACATATTTTCTATATTGTTTTATATTTACTGAATGGTCAATGGTAACGTTATATGCTATTTAAAATGTGTATCTTTATTTTTCATTTGTATAGCAAAGATGGACCGCATAGTCAAAATTGATAATTAAAACACAGTACCCCTATAAAATTGAACCACACGTCAAGATCCTTCACAGTAGAGGGGGAAGATGTCGACCGCAGAAGACATGGATGGAGTGTGTGAATGACGATATGAGAGTGAACGGAGTGAGTGTTGAGACGACGGCTGATAGCAGACAACGGAATAGAATTTTTCGCTCTCCCGACCCCATCTAGTGGGAGACAAAGAAGAAGACGAATTTAAGAAGCTTCACGGATATTTTAGAACAATCACTCATCCAACAGAAAGTGTATTTAACGGTACAACATTTAGCTACCAACATTTCTCATTTAATTTTTATTCAATGTGGATATTACGTAAGGTGTGATTTTCCAGATCATTCATATTAGTCAATTTCTGATATTAATTCGCGACTTCATGAAGTCTAGATATGGCAAACGGTTTGATAAATCTATGAGTCCTGTTTCATGAAAAACAAAAGCGCAACGTGTGAAAATCTTAATCTAAGGGTCGCTTCACATTTTCCATTGTTTAAATGCACACAGGCATTAGTACATGACATTATTACGTGGAAATTGCGTTATGAGATTCTTTGTTCTTGGTTTATTATATGTTAAGCTTTTTTCAACAAGTATAGTTTAAAAATATATCTGTATTATTTTTTCAGGCCTCTACAGCAAACAAAGTTCTGCATTTCAAAAATCATAAGATATTGTGTAACTTTAACTCCATTGTACATACGTACATATATTTTGTGCGTTTAATTAAATATTAAGAAATGATTCATTTGACGTCATATAGACAAGACACAAAATACAAACGTTAAACATCTAGCTGAAAAACTAAAATGATTTCTTTATTTCTAATCCAGTACCGACAGCACGTAAACAGAAATCAATAAATAAAATGCTAATGAATACTAAAAATAAATAACTAAGCGTATACATTAAATATAATTAGGAAGTTAAGAAATTTTAATATAAAATATTATAATACACGAACATTTTTTTACACATCATACTTTCCTTTTTAAATAAAACCGTTCGGTCCAACAGACTTTCTGTGGTGCCTTGTTTAACAGCTATCTATAAATAGTAGGTACATATATCGTCTTTTCGCATTAAAAGTGTACAATTTCCAAAAATATTCGAAATTGTTATCGAGTTAATATGCGGAATCATTTGGTATCACCAGTATTTTTCTCATAAATACTGTCAAAATAGCATAGTTTAGTTTTAGTTTTTTTTAGTTTACCTATGTTTTGACTACTATTAACAAATTAATACATCATTATATCTTACTTTAAAAGACAGATGATGTAACTGATAAAAAATAAAGTGTTGCAACCCTTTAAAACACTCTCCTGTAAAATTAGGAAGTTTTGAGATTATACAGTTTTAATGCAAGTAGACGATATAATAAAATTAGTCAGGCTAATGGATAATGATATCGTGGCCCGTTCGTTTGATCGATTGAAAATTTTTAATTGTATCACATACAATGTCGGTCCGATGAAGAGAAATCTGGGCGTCTACCCATAAAAATTGATTACATACAAATCTAGAAACTGTATTTCTTGATCGTAACAAATATGGCGCGACAGAGGGCTGCTATATAGTACCCCGCTATGTACTATGTCCAACTTTATTTTTATTGACAGATTTTTCGATTAAATTAAGAAAAATATAGTTGTGTTTGATAGTACGTCTGTGTTATAACTTTGTGAGCTCGAATACGGCTCGCTTATTTGAGTTAAAATTTATATTTCACATCACTGGAAAATTTTAGAATATAATTTGAACAAAACAAAAACATTTCAATATGCATGTAAAAAAAGAGGACTTCCTTTAAAGTTAATTATTTCCTGTTTGAAAAGCAGTTCGTATTAATGTAGAATGTCAATAAATAGCGGTGACAGAGATGATGATATATGAAGTTATAAAATTAATTTCTGTGTAGAATTAAGAACGAATTTCCCACCAAATAGACATACCAATAGATTAAAGAAGTCAACTTTCTTTACTTGCATTTGCACGTGGCTATAAATTAATTAACATAACAGCTGCGTTAAGGTGCATTGAGGAAATGTTTTGTAAAAAATTTTTTTATTGGATTTTCTGTTTGCTAAAATATATTTTAAAAAGGCAGATTCGTTTATCTGAGACTAATCAACTCATTTGATATGTTTAATTTCTCACTTTATCCAATTCTAGTCTGGTGCTAGCTTTCTGTTGGTCATAGCATCATGGGGCCACTCCTACCAATATTGTTAGATGTAACGATTGATAAAATACACAAATAATTTATAATATTAGAAAACGTATTTACATTTTCTTCATTATTCAGCCACAGGCAACAAGACCGAACATTACACATTACTCACATACATGCAAAACATGAACCATAAATTTTAATAATATTCTAATCGCTTGCCACTAAATATATCAATACAAATCCAATATTTAGGATTATTAGTCTTTTAAACAAAATTGACATTTTTTATTTAGATATTAAGGTGTCATCATGTGGCGCCATTAATATATTTTACGAGTTAATTCATTTTATCTGGCAACCCCACAGCCAACACTATGTCCTTTTGCCACATCAATTACGCACAATATTTAATCGATACAATTTACTCACAAATATACTTTTGTACAGAAAAAGCCGAATATAAGTTTTTCAATATAATAGCAAAATCTACAGTAAAAATTCAACTACAAACACGCACATTCTTAATCACTTTTCTATTTCACTATTCTAGACTAAATTGTATTGTCTAATTACTTTCACTTGTTTTTACATATCTTTCTTTAAGATTAATGAATAAGCAATGTTATGTAATATAAAATCAATTTATACACAAAATTCGAATATGTGTGTGCCTTTTGTTTAAACAGTGTTGTCACTTAAAATATATTTATTTGCAAGACTAAATCGGTTTACAAATGAACGAAGTTAGAAAGCTTTTAAGCTTTTGTAGTGGGATTAGTAGTGAAGTAAATATAAGAGTATTCACAACTGTTCGAGGCGTCACTACCTGTAGGGGTGCGAGGGAGTTGGGAAATATTTTCTTACTACTCTTTCATACATCACTTACTCATTACACTTAACTAATTTCGATGCTGTTTTCACAAGTTTTCTTACTGGTGGAATTTGCTTTTAAGCCAATGTACACGATAAAATTTAGCAAATATCCCTATTAAGCGTGTGTAAAAATATCGTCTGATCAGTCTGTAATATAAAAGTTGTGGAAAATGTCCCAACAGAACCCATAGACAAGCTGCATGAAAAAAATATTTTAATTACAGATTATAACAGTCGTATAAATATAAGAATTACATTTGAAAATATATTTTAAAATTAAATTTGTTATAATTTTGAAAGGAACGAAACGACTCATTGTGACATTTATCATGTAAAAAAGCTGCCATACTACATCGTCACTGTGTCAATAATTTTATTCGTACAAAAACATAAAACAACAGAACGATTTTTGTATTCATAAAATGATATTATCAGTTACTAGGCAAACAATGATTCATATAAATATTATCTGATTTCATTGCTCTTCAAGAAACTTTTTGACGTTTTTAACATTAGCCAACAAAAGCAGTTTGGGTTTTCAATCGAGTTGGTTTTACTGCCGCACATAGATTTATTAATGACAGTGTCCAAGCCAAGTAGATATATACCCACGAAGCCTTTGCGGACCTTATCGAAAACGATCGTTTGGGATAATATTATTGGTGCACAGTAAAATAATAAATCATTTCATAGATACCATTACAGATGACGTCAAACGTCAATGTTATGTCAAACTTCATTTGTCAAACTAAAAACGCCTAAACTACATTTGTACAACCGCGCCCATGCGGAAGTGTGACTACGTAATACTATACCTGGTTGAGATTACTTTAGCTTTGGGCTAGTCCAGTTCGGTCTTTCGACCTTGAGTGAGACCGACAGCTCAACTGCAGCTGTCCTTTTTAGCGGTCTGTTCGTCTGCTTTCTTGACGTCCAGATCCGTCGTCGATGCGCCCGCCTGTGGATTGTCGGGATCTGAAATTACAATTTAAATTTATGGAGTTTATCATTTTAAGTCGTCTCGTGGCCTAAAGGATAAGACGTCCGGTGCATTCGTCTTGAGCGATGCATCGATGTTCGAATCCCGTAGGCGCCTAGGCGGGCAACAATTTTTCTAATGAAATAGGTACTTAACAAATACTCACGATTTACTTCTACGGTGAAGGAATAACATCGTGCAATAAAAATCAAACCCGCAAAATCATAATTTGCGTAATTACTGGTGGTAGGACCTCTTGTGAGTCCGCGCGGTTAGGTACCACCACCTCGCCTGTTTTCAGCCGTGAAGCAGTAATGCGTTTCGGTTTGAAGGCTGGGGTAGCCTTTATAACTAACTATAATTGAGACCTTAAAACTTATATATCAAGGTGGGTGGCGCATTTACATTGTAGATGTCTATGGGCTCCAGTAACCATTTAACACCATGTGGACTGTGATTACGTCCACCCATCTAAGCAATAAAAAAAAAGGCCTTCTTGTGACTGAATTCTTATTAAATTCGCGTCAACAATCTGATGACACCAACTCATGATAGAAGTACACTCTGAATACAATCTTCGTGTCTATTTCCGTTCGTAGTTCTCTTGTGTAAGGTGTTCACCTTGATGTTTACGAGTGCATAGGCCATTAATACTGCAGTTATAAACTCGATAACGCTCTTCATGTTACGCACGTAATAATTAAATAAACTGAGTAATTAACCAGCGCGATGGTCTCTCTGTGAAATTTTATCAACATACACGTAACTTCGTTTTCTGATTTAAACTTTAAAAAAAAACTGCATTAGCCGTAAATGATAGATTAAACATTAAATATACAACAAATTGGCAATAAGGCATACAGCGTGCTCTCGTTTAATTAAGTTATTTTTGCAATAAAATTGCGTTAATTCGTAATACATTATCTACGAATACGATTCACGTTCCCAAAAAATGAACAAAACCGCACAACCTTGAAGTTGAAGTTTTGTAATATCTTTACGCTTATAAAAACCTTATTTAACGAGGTGTGCCAAAATGTTCAAGTTTAACAGCATTTTTTGGTAAATAAAATCAAGAGATAATATTTGGACGAGAAAAGGAGTGATATGATTTAGCATTGTGCTACATTCGAGATAGTCGTTGTTTTCCACCTTTTTATTTATTTATTGCTTAGATGGGTGGACGAGCTCAAGCCCACCCACCAGATACCACCCACCACCATAGACATCTACAACGTAAATGCGCCACCCACCTTGAGATAAGTTCTAAGGTCTCAGTATAGTTACAACGGCTGCCCCATCCTTCAAACCGAAACGCATTACTACTTTCACGGCAAAAATAGGCGGGGCGGTGGTACCTACCCGTGCAGACTCACAAGATGTCCTACCACCACCAGTAATTACGCAAATTAGAATTTTTCGGGTTTAATTTTTATTACACGATGTTATTCCTTCACCGTGGAAATCAATCGTGCACATTTGCTAAGTACGTATTTCATTAGAAAAATTGGTACACGTCTGCGGGATTCGAACACCGATACATTACTAGATACGAATGCACCGGACGTCTTATCCTTTAGGCCACGACGACTTTAAGAATATGAATATGCTGAACATTTAAAAAACGACCATGATACTATCTATACATCCTTTATCACTTAATAACATTTTTTTAAACTAAACCACCAATTTAACTAGCTCAAAAGTTTGCCAAACAACGCTACTTGAAAATATATACATACCCTTCAAATGTCAAAGCAAAAGGCCAACGCGATCGTAGTTAAATAATACTATAGATAGTATTGTGTTACAGAAATCTAAGAATAAAATTGTTTACATTTTATATACCAAAACAAATTAAGCGAGCACGTGTCGAAATCGCGTGAAATCGACTACAGTCATATCAAAAGGTAGGCCTTTACGTTATCGGCGTACGGTAAACAAAACAAAAGTTATTAAAAAGAATTACAACCTGTATGTGCTATTTTACGGGTGTAAGGAAACTCAAATTCAACTAAAGACTTTAATGCACTTTACCGAGTAGATAAAACTAAAAGAATCATAATGGATTAAATCGATTTCATTAATGCATATTGAATTGCACGCTACATACTCTACTAAAATGAAATGCGAAGTCCACGCTCTCGATGAATATATAACTATATAAAACGATATATTTCTTCTTCATCGTTCCCTCTCTGCTGAGGATCGCGACCACATGTTACTTTCCTCGATAGTCTTCGGTCATGGGTGGCATGGTATAGACCATGCCACCCATGACCCGTAATCTATATTACCACCAACCGCCTTCTTAACCAAATCCGGCCATCTGGCTGGTGTTCTGCCCACTTGCCTTCTATGCGACCCAAAATTATGAGCTTCTCTAATTCATGTCTTGGAGACCGCATGATGTATCCAAACAAGCTCTTATTACGTTCTTGGCAGATGGCAGAGAGCCTTGTTTGCAGTTTATATCTATTAAAATCAACTCGTTAGTTCTCATGGAAATCCATGGTATTCGGAACATCCTCCGCCACACCCACATTTCAAAGGCATCGATATATTTGCAATAGCGGCTTTTCATGCACCAAGTCTCTGCTTCGTAGAGGAATATGGAAGAGACCAGTGCCCGCACCAAGCGGACTTTGGTTTCCCACCTGTCCTGGTGAAACTGGAAAGACCTCCGGGCTACCAGTAATCCTTCAATCATAAAAAAAAAAACTTTGGTTTTAAAGCGAATGCTACGGTTTTTCCAGATCTTCTCGAGGCCATCGCACTTTTAGCCATACCGGATTTTCGGCGTATTTCTCTCGTGCAACTATCCTCGGATATTATTTGCGACCCAAGATATATGAAATCCGCTACTTTCTTGTAGTCGCTGAGTGCATCAGAGCGTGGAAGAAGTTGCGCTCTATCTATTACCGTTATTTTGGTCTTCGATTGCTTGATCTTAGGATCTTAGCACTTTCTTATTCTACACCATTCGGAAGATTACATAGGTTGCCAAACTGAATCAATATACATACATACATAAAAATACATAGACACAAATAAATAAATCAAAGTGGTTGTCTGTGATTTGAATTTGTTTTTATGTAATAAATATCAATAATATATATCAATAAGTAATGAATATTGCCACGTCTACAAACTTAATTAATTTAAATGGCAAATGGGAATTCACAAATCAACAATAAAGTGTTTATTCTGGCAACAGTACCCACGCAATAGAATGTTATGAAAGTATCTTGCTATACGAACTACCCCGCATTATCAGGATATTAATCGGTCGACTCGACAACGTCATCGCGGGCTTTCGATTATCACATGTGACAGGCGGATTGCGATACGAATGACTCTCGTACAAAACAATGACTGATAACGATAACACGAGGCTGATGAAATGTTTCATCCCAGTAGCTAATTCTATTTTTATTCGTACTAGTGGTCGCCTAGTAGTCGAAATTTGACCATAATTATTAATTTAAATTATAAGTTTGAACATTAATAAGGTTCTATTATCAAAGACTTTCTATGATGCATATTTTTGCCGTGAAGCAGTAATGCGTTTCGGTTTGAAGGGCCGGGCAACCGTTGTAACTATACTGAGACTTTAGAACTTGTATCTCAAGGTGGGTGGCGCGTCTACGTTTTTACGTACACTTTTAATATCGTTATGTAGGTACATCAAGAGTATGTCCATAATGGTCGGCAGTTGTTATATTCGCATTTTGTGACGATGTAGTCATATGGAATTTATATCTCCTCCTTGCGTTAATACATTTCGCTCGAAACTCTAAAAAGTGAGCAAATTAATGCTGAAAAGGACATGGCGTGAACCTAAAAGTATTAAATTAGAGGGGTTAATAAATTACTAACTCTCATATATTATTTGTATACGTAATTATTATTAATAAGTGCCTAATAGGCGAACACGTCATCCACGACGAATACGTAATTTTATGTTATGCGAATATAATGCAATTAAGCTCTACATACATATACAAATGTAAATGAATATACTCTCAAATATTGTATTAGCTAGAGCAAACTATTTGGGAAGTATCCAAGTACTGATGCAATTCGTAGTTGCGTTTAATTTTAAATTATTCGGTGCATTACTGTAATAAATCAGCTCAAGATACTTTTATGATCCCATAAATAAATAGGAAAAAAACAGATATCACGCTCATGTTCTTAACTGGCTTACGAAACGGTTCAAAACCAACATAGCAATGTCACTAATGAGCAGTGGTGATATGCCAACATCAATGTCAACACTTTGTAAAAGAGCGTCTGTACTCAATTCCTGTTATGGAAAATCACCCAAAAGACGGTTTACCAGAGCCTATAGATATAGCAACTTCAACATTCAAACTGAGATGCATAATTGTCCCAAGACGGAAATTTCTCGAAAGTTGGTATCAAATAGTAAGAGATCACAGCATGTCCTACCAACCCAACATTGAAAGAATACAGTACTAAAGATATTAAAGACTGAGATAAGTTTGAGCATATTTGTATACTATAAATGTGATAGTTTTTGCATATTTGCTGTTTGGGAATAACGACGACGGAAAGATCTACTGAGCGGATGTAATCACCAAAAGGCGTTGTAGCATTGAAGATTCTGCCCTACAGCGTTACGCAGCTATGAAGAATACAATTACAAACAAACAAAACGATTACACGATAAGATACAATGATAAGTACGTACGTCATTTGCATTCGAAAGATAATCCAGTTGCTAAGTAAAATGACCACGTTAACGACAGTCACGGCTTGTTGGTTTTCAATAATCACATTAATTTTTACTAATTCGTATGTTTCAAAGGAGATTCTTGATAAAGACTGTTCACTCGGAGTATTCTTAAACACCGAAAATATAACAATGCGAGATTAAGATTAAGAATTCGGGTTTAAAAGTAAATAGGTGTTAACCGATAAGGAAGGCAATGTGAGACTAATACGAAATAAGGTTTTGCTGTATTAAATTGGCGTATAACTGTCGATCAGAGTAGGCGTGCTCAAGACTGGTAGCCAGTTCGCAGTGTACTATAAATAGTATTAGTTAGTTCTGACTACAAATGAAGACACAAATACAGCAAAACAAAAGGCAGACGCAAGGCGAAAGGAACACCAAACTAAAAACACACAATTAAAACTTGTTTAGTTCACTTGCGATGGTACACTTTTCACTGGTGGTGGGACCTCTTGTGAGTCCGCACGGGTAGGTACCACCATCCCGCATATTTCTGCCCTGAAGCAGTAATGCGTTTCGGTTTGAAGGGTGGGGCAACCGTTGTAATTATACTGAGACCTTAGAACTAATCTCAAGGTGGGTGGCGCATTTACGTTGTAGATGTCTATGGGCTCCAGTAATCACACAACACCAGGTGGGATGTGAGCTCGTCCACCCATAAAAGCAATAAAAAAAAAATGTAATTTAATAAAAAAAAAATATTACAGAGAAAACAGAGCGCAGAGTAGTTAATAATTCTCGTGTTTGAAACGTAAATGACGTCAGATGTTTAATGATCATCTCGTGCCAATCAATGGGATGATGCAAGCTACTGTCAGCCATGAAGTCTGAGTCATCACGAATGTGATATTAGCATGACATTTTTTGTGCTCATCAAGTAACAGATTGGAGTGGGAGCTCGAAGATTTCACATTGCAGTGAATGTTAATAGTATGGGTAACGGCTGTGTAAAGCAATATAAAGGACGGTAGGCGTAAATCTTTCATATTTTTTCAGATAAATGTTTGAAAGCTTCAAAAAATTGTTCTCGGAATTCTGAGCTGACAGTATCAGGGCAATTTCCTCTACATCTTTAAAATTTTGTATATACGTTATCAATTGCTAGAATTATACACGTTAATTGAAATAGGGAATTAACACTTAGTTTTTTTTTAAATTTTATCTTTTTTCTCAAACATACGTAAACCTTAAATAATCATTTATAGAACACGTTTTGGGCTTTGTGTCATAAATTATCGTAATTTTTTCTCCTAGTAGATGTCAAAGCGTACATTACCTCTGATGACTTAAGTAGATAGCTAATGGTCAGAAGAGCTATCTACGGAGTCCTTAACCATTAAAATGAATATTGGCCAATTTGGCGTATCGTAAGTTTATGTATTTTTAATTATGGGCGGATATTTTTTTTTACAAATTTTAAAGTTTCCATGTATCGCATATCGAAACGCGGCTAGGTTAAGCATCTGCAGGTAAGTATCTGCAGACACAAGTTCACAAATAAACAAACACTGTCTTTAAATTATATGGTAAGAAGGGCGCTCACTACAGTCAATGTTCCGGCTGTCTTGGAACCCATCGGAATTTTGAAGTCAGATGGGAAAAGGCCCGATGGAGTCACGCTAATTCCATGGTCAGTTGGTAGGTGCCTGGTATGGGACGCTACTTGTGTAGATACTATGGCTCCCTGTCATTTAGATGGTACTTTCTCCCGCCCCGGTTCAGCTGCAGCTTCAGCAGAAGTTTCAAAAAAGCGGGAGTGTTCGGGTTTGAGGTCTTCTTATTCTTTTTTGTCTTTCGCGGTTGAGACGATGGGCCCTTGGGGCCCTGAAGCAAAGAATTTTTTGTCAGAAATCTCCAAACGCTTGAAGGTTACACGTGATGCTAAGGCTGGCTGGTACTTTGCACAGAGAGTGAGTCTGGCTGTCCTACGAGGTAACGTAGCCAGTATCTTGGGAACTGTGCCTCCTTCAAGCGCATTGGAAGATTTGTTCTACTGTGTGAGTTGATAAAAAATAATATAAAAAAAATAAAATTTGTAGATAAAAAATTACTATTAAAAAAAAAAAAACAAACACGGTAAACGAACATCATGATAATATATAAGACGAAAGCCGCCATATTTACAATTTCTGTAATTATCTACTAATATAATTCCTATTTCCACGAAAGGTAATCACAGTGCAATATAAACTGAAATTTTGACCCCATGTCTCAAGGTGAATTGGAATTTATATTGTCGACTTTAAAAACATTAATTAATTAGTTTATAAGTAGCCGACATAATATTGTAAAATTTGAAAAAGTATTCCCTGGTAACTTCACGTGACGAATGTTAAATCGATTTTATTAAATTTGTAGTGTGTGTACTCAAAGTAATTAAATTATGTATTAATATTCTATCACTCTGTGTTGGCCGGTTGGTAATATGTACATTAAGCTGATGGCTGCTGTTACCGCTTCATACGTATTAAAGAACAGAATCAATGTCACATACTTATCATCTATATTACATCTATAATCACACCCCCTTCTGGCTGAATCTTTGCTCGCCCACCTGTCCTGTTGAAACTGGAAAGGCCTCCGGGCCAGCAGTAATCCTCCAATCATAAAAAAAATACACACACACGCACAAATCGCATTGAAGTCTTACCAGTGGTGACGAGCTGTTGCAGCCTGGACGGCAGATCCGCGGTCGTAACCTCCGCGCCTTGTGGATGCAGGATGTCCGGCATGGCATTCCTCCGTCCCGTACGTCCCGTCTCCAAGAACTCCTTGGGCACTTCTTCTCTATTCCTGTCCTGCATTATTGCCATCATTCTCAGCACTGTGAATTTGCAATGTATTCATTATTGTTACAGTTTTAATTTTTTTAAAGCCCTATAGACAGACGAGCATACGGCCCACCTGATGGTGAGTGGTTACCGTCGCTCATGGACATCAGCAATGCCAGGGGCAGAGCCAAGCCGCTGCCTACCGTTCCTTTAGTAATGCGTAATTGTAGCGTTCAATCGTAGTAGGGAATGTAATTCAGTAGTAGGAATTAGCGTAATGTATAGTACTAATGCCCCTTAAGCTCGGCCAAAGTATCGAAAGATAAGCTTGTGAGACTGGACGAAGAAAGGGCCCTGTTGGGCAAAGAGTTGGGAGTTCTAACTTTCCGTTTCAATTCGACCGAAGGCTGAACGATAAGGCAATTATTATGTTAAGGATATAACTATGCGGAACAACCATTACCTAAAAGGGACGAAACTGACGATGCATGCGAAAACATTTAAAAAAAAAACAAAACCTTCTCGCTAGCGTTATTGTTATATTCTAGCCATTTAAAAGTTTTTTTTTTATCGTAGGCGTTTCTTTTTCAACGATTGAATACCGTCTGATGTCACGAACGTTAAGGTAAAACTGCCAAAATTGCATTAAAATTTAGCTGACAGGCAACTCCAATCCGGCTCACCGCCTATTGTACATAGACCTATGTTTCCTACTTCAGTGCTATTGTACAAATGTATCGTGATTGTTTTTTGAATGTAAATTGTGTTTTGGTGTGCAATAAAGGGTATTCTCTCTCTCTCTTTCTCTCACACAAATGCAGTGGAATTTGCTTAGTGCTACTGCAAGTTCAGACATATAAACATCATATTTTATGACATATGTGTAGATAACGTACCATACCGTTTTCGGTATAACTGAGCAGGAATGTGGTACACTCATGCTTGTGCCTCAGTATTCAAGTGAGGGGAATTAGGAGAATAAGGTAATTGATACTATCTCTGATAGCGGATAAATATTATCATAAGCGCGTATACTTGAGTCTGTATATTCTGTCTAATGACGAAAATATTATTTCAATTCATTTGATCCCGATTCTTTGAATTACAAATTTTACAAAGCAAAATATGAATTTTAAGACTTCTTTTGTCCTAATATAATCTAGTTTGACTTTTATTTCTATGAATATGCGATCAAAATCTTTATATTTCTTTTTTTCTATTCTAACTTTTATAGGGGTTCTAGTTTTTCGATGATTATAATATTTATAGGGATTTTTTCAAAAGAAAACCATTAATTGATTAAAATAATAATGAATCGACGAACACTGAAAACAGTCCGTATTCAAAACATTAGAAATAGAAAAAGGTATTACATACACGAATAGGAATATAAATATCCAACAAACTTTAAACTTCATTAAGTTAAGAATTATTCAAAACGTTTTCGGCTCAATTTTATTTTATTTTATAGCCTACCCAATTTTATTTGAAAGCAATTTGTAAGCTATGGGTTTCGCCTTATCTGTATTTCGTATGCAATTAGCGCTCACCTTGACCCTATTCGAGTTACAATGAAAACACATTACTTTATATCGATCTGCCATACATACATATATCCATGCGAGAGCCTATTCGCTATGAGTAAAATTTTGTAATACAATCGAAGTTGTTGTTTTTCAGTTGCTCATTTCGAACATAGCATGCGATAACGGCTCTATGCAAGTTATGTAATTTTTCAGGAGAAACGTTGAAAAATTCAACATCTTATTATACAATTCTTATATAGTTCTGCTAGGCTATAGAAATAAAATGAACTACATACTTCATCGGTAAGAGCAAACATCTCTCTCGTCTCACTAATGGCTGTTAAAAAATGTATTTTCTCATGCTCAGTTCAGTGTTAACAAAAATTGCATAAGTGACTTTATAGCACCGTATGTGCGATTTATTTTATTAGCTATATTACAATCCTTATTGTCAAAAAGCCTCAATAATAATAATAATCGTTTATTTCAGACCGTATTTTTATCTATTTATATAAAAATACAATTTGGAGATACATATAACTAGTCAGGTCATAAGTATTGTCACACAGTAAAAACTTTTCTTTTAGAATGCTGGCCACAAAAAAGTTTATTGAATTCGAATTTCGAATTGTTCATGAAAATAAAAATGTATACTTTTAGAATTTTACTCATTTTTTAAATATGGAGTGGACGCTTAAAGAAGACCGTGTTGCAGTTATTACGTTGCATCGTTGCGGTTACGCGCCAATTCAAATTTTTAACATACTGAAAAACTTTAATATAACCAAAAGATTCGTTTATCGTACCATCAAACGATACAATGAAGACTAGTGTAGATGACAGGTCAAGAAGTGGTCGCCCTCGGTCTGTTAGGACTCCAGCAGTGATAAAAGCTGTGAAGGCGCGAATTCAAAGAAATCCCAAACGTAAGCAGAAACTGTTGGCCCTTCAGATGGGGTTAAGCAGAACCACGGTGAAAAGGGTGTTAAATGAAGACTTAGGGCTTCGGGCATATCGAAGAAAAACAGGACATCGTTTGAATGCTCGTCTAATGGACCTGAGACTGAAGAGATGCCGCGCTTTGTTGAAGCGGTACGCGGGAAAAAAATATCGGGAAATTCTTTTTTCGGATGAAAAAATTTTTACCGTAGAAGAGAGCTACAACAAACAAAATGATAAGGTGTACGCACACAGTAGTGAAGAAGCGAGCAACCGTATTCCGCGTGTCCAACGAGGTCATTTTCCATCCTCGCTCATGGTATGGTTGGGAGTTTCTTATTGGGGCTTAACAGAGGTACATTTTTGTGAGAAAGGTGTAAAAACGAATGCAGTTGTGTATCAAAATACAGTCCTGACGAACCTTGTGGAACCTGTTTCTCATACCATGTTCAATAACAGGCACTGGGTATTCCAACAAGATTCGGCGCCAGCTCATAGAGCGAAGAGCACACAAGACTGGCTGGCGGCGCGTGAAATCGACTTCATCCGGCACGAAGACTGGCCCTCCTCCAGTCCAGATTTGAATCCGTTAGATTACAAGATATGGCAACACTTGGAGGAAAAGGCGTGCTCAAAGCCTCATCCCAATTTGGAGTCACTCAAGACATCCTTGATTAAGGCAGCCGCCGATATTGACATGGACCTCGTTCGTGCTGCGATAGACGACTGGCCGCGCAGATTGAAGGCCTGTATTCAAAATCACGGAGGTCATTTTGAATAAACTTTATTGTCATAAGAATCTATGTTTTGTTAAGTTCATTTTGGTATACGAATGGTTACATAGTGAATAAACTTGTTTGAATTATTTTACATTAAACATGTGACAGAATTTATGACCTGACTAGGTATTTATCCCGCCACATGTAGGCGATGCCCTGTTAGGAAGAATGGACAATCCATCTCCATTCTGTTCGCAATGAGTTGCAGGTAACCGTTGGAGCCGCCACGCATCCGCCGCATCAGGGATGCTGCTCGTTTCCTAAGTATTGCAGCAAAGCAGTCAACACCGGCGTCTGCAAACATCCGCGAGGCGCTAAAGAAACGTGGCAGTTTAAAAAAATGAAATCGATTTTTAAAAAAGTTTCCAGTCGTCGTGGCCTATAAAATAAAACGCCCGGTGTATTTGTAGCGAGCGATGTAACAGTCCCGGTGTTCGAATTTCGCGGGTAAGTACCAATTTTTCCTAATTAAATACGTACGTACGAATAATTAATTCAACGAGCCTTTCACTTGACGCCGTCTTCATTTTCGGTTACGATTGCTACACACCCTGTATATTAAAGCAGTTAATTTTATTGGCTGTATTTATTTTTCACGACAAAATTTGCCTATCGAAGCGCAGGAACCTGTTCAAGAATTTTTGATTGGTTACGATGAAAACACCCAAACTCCGAATGTGCGTTGGGAATAGGCGGCGCACGCGTCCGAGTTCGGGTAAAACGGAAGCTTCATTTCGGGCCGCCATTGTCTACGTTAACTTATCAAAAGTGTTTGACAAGTACAGAGTGTGACGTAACGAGACAGACAAATCAAGGATATCGACTGCTGAACAACGTGATTAAAACTGATAAAAGTTATCGCAAATTAATATCAATGTATTAGAAGAATGACGCAAGAACGTGATCTCCATGTTTTGTTATCGACATCCGAAAATAATCGTAAACGTACATCAATGAAACGGAGATAAACAAACACCGGTTGTTACCATAATCCGGTACGTTTTTGCCGCAATAATCATGTGTTTTTTTTTAATTCCTTAGATGGGTAGACGAGCTCACAGACCACAGACAGACAGTTTTTTAGTGAGTGAATGATTACTGGTGGTCTGCAGGCCTTTCCGGTTTCATCAGGACAGGTGGGCGAGCACGGGCTCAGCCAGGAGGGGTGGGATTTGCTAACAGCTACCCGAACGCCTCCGAATGAGACCTAGAGCAGCTGCTTCGAGAATGAATCTACTAACGGATCGGAATCGCGACCCGGGTTGAGAAGATCCGACGAGAAACTTGGCGGGCAGAGGATAACATCGTTATTTTCTTGTCACGATAACTCAACGGGACGATGGGATTTACGTTGCTACAACTATGGGTTCCGGCAATTGCTTCGACCTTGAATTCGTGCGCGCATTTCAATGAAAAATAATTTATTCTCTCGCTACACAGTTCTGACTCAAATAAAGACTCTTAAAGACTAAAAACGACAATAGTTTCATACAAAGCGTTCCAATAACAAGTTGGCCATTGACTTCGCAGTTGACCAAGGTAACCGAGATTTGGGACGTACGTAAATGTATTGCTAGTAAAAGTTTCGAACACTCCGAAAAAAAAAACATCAATCACATCGTAGTTTCATACTTTGGAAAGAATCGCACAGAAACAAATTTAACTTGAAGAACAAATTTAACTTGTAAATTGAAGGAAGCGTTTGCCGATGTTTCCGAAAAGAAAAAAAAAGAAGGAACAGACTATATCCCGGGTTTTCTCACAAACGAAACCACTCATAACTAATCAATATTATGCGATGCGCCGTATTATATTTGCACGTGCAGTTAAGAACTATTTTATTTAAAGGCTTTCAAGCAGGCAAAATATATTTAAATAGCTTAATGGGATACTCAATAATGTACTTTAAATCAACTTTGAAAACTCTATTTTCTATAAAAGAAAAAGTTGACATCGACAAAGTTGCCAGCATTTCTTTAAAATCGGTTAATAGATTATTTACAGCGAAAGGTTACAAGGCTCAACCTCTTGAATATAACTTTTAGAATTCACTATTTTATTTCACTAAAAATGTTCGGTTTTAATTATTCCAGAGATCACATTACGTTCGTTAAAATAAAAATTAAAACGTCATTAAAATCGCGTAGAACAAAATTGTCTTAACGAAGTTTAACAAGGATCAAGGTCTTCTATAACTATCATACTTATATGCTACCTACATGCATATACATAAAAGGCAAAGACAGAAAGTCAAGTAGCATTGTTTTCTTGTTCACTAGTTATTAACTATCTTTAGTGTTATCAATAAAATAAATTTCAAGCAGTCGCTTCTTTTTCTACAAAATAAATAGAACAGTTAAATACTACTTTAACAATGTAAGCCAAAACAAAAAATGTTATAACAGAAAAAAAAAATATCAGTATCTAGAATCGTCGGTGATTTTATTCGATTTTTTATTAATGACCATGATATTGATGAATTATTGCACGACCACAGATAAACTTTCCGAACCAACGGTCATTTATACAAATTATACTCGAAATTAATCTGTACCGGGTAATATGATTTTTTTTTTTACTGTGGTGTGTGACAACAACGTCAAAGCACTCAAAGCCTTCATACACCTTGAGATCAAATCCAAAGGTCAACATTACTTTATTTAACAGTTGTTCTTCCCTTCAACCGGGAACGGAACGCACAACAATTTTCCCAGTAACTACCCATGAAGGCTTAAAATGCGCCCTACTACTAACTAAATTAAATAATTGTTGGCAGAACACGCATCCTTGGACGTTGTGAAAATTTACAATTACATAAACATCTAAATAATCTAATATTATGTAAAATAAAATTCATGTATTCACGTTGCGCTACGTCAACAACGTTATAATGTAACGGTGGACACAATTACCGTGTCTTTGTTATGTTAATTGCGAATTGAACTACAAAGATCGTCCTTTGAGTACGACTCGTTACGTTTGTCAAGTACGAGAACGAAGTCACTAGCGAGTACAACATTCAAATGTGTTATTGAATTGTAAAAATATTTATTGGGTACAGGCCGCAGCTCTGCCTGAACCAGCGGTTTAACTAGTGCTTCTTAATCAAAAGGTAAGAGGCACGAATCCGTGCCCTTGCCGTAATGTATTCAGTTTTACTAAAAACTAGCGACCCGCCTTCGCTTCGCTTCGGAAACATTAAATTTTATTATTGATAGCTGAGTCCCGCGATGTTATGTCCCGTCGTACCGCGGATGACGCCGCGGGGCGAAACTAGTCTAAAAAAAGTAAAGCCTAAGTTACTCCTTATATCATCAGCTACCTATCAGTGAAAGTCCCGTCAAAATCGGTCCAGCCGTTCCAGAGATTAGCCGGAACAAACAGACAGACAAAAATTGTAAAAAATGCTATTTTGGTGTATGTACCGTATATATTCATATATTCATATGCATGTAGTAAAAGGCGGTTATTTCAATATTACAAACAGACACTCCAATCTTATTTATATGTATGTATAGATGAAGGGCGTTCACGAATACTCACATTCGCAGACTATTTGCCATGTATCAACGTAGACTGGTTTATGCGACGGTGGGATTATGGCTTGTTTGTTCTGAGCGATATAAAGATAGTTCCGGGCTTTGATGTGGCAATTTCGTCCGAAAGTGCATTCCTTACACGGGAACAACAAAATGGATGCCAACTACCTTTGATTGTCGATGCCGCTGTTTCAATTGTATCGATAAAACATATAACCTCATCATAGCTGATCATTGTTTCTTAACGGCTTCTCAGTAGCCATGAAAGAAGGCGACCTCCGCCTTGCTTCGTATTCCGCAAAGGCTTAAACTGAGGGTTGTGACCATACTTCTGTATCACTTTCTCACGCACGATCCTTCTCCATCTGTTTCTGTCTCTGGTGGTATGGAGAGCGTTATAAACTGTGGAATCAAGAGCGACGCGGATCTGGTTGGATTAACGTATAGAATACGACAGCTCCCCCTTAATTTCATCTCCAATAGATATCGGAGAGCTTAGGTTTGTTTGAGTACTCAGTTTGACACTACCTCATAGTCTTCTTAGGACTATCCTCGTTATCAATAGGACAGATGACTACGATTTGAAAGTACATATGCGTTGGTTTTGTGGCATTCGATATTATTACTTAAAAATTAATTATAATTATGGATCCTTTTGGACAAATATTGTTAAGGGATAACTTTAAAAATAATTAGGGTTCGAAATTGAGATCGTGCGACAGTATCGTGACAAAAATTGGCTAAAAACTATACGAACTCGTTCTAGATGACAGCATTCTACTAATATTTTAATCGCGAAAGTTTGTAAGGGCGGATAAATATTTGTTGGGTTTTCACGCAACAACTATTGGACTATTTTTTTTTTTATTGCCCTTGTAGGCAGACGAGCATACGGCCCACCTGATGGTGAGTGGTTCGCCCATGGACTTCAGCAATGCCAGGGGCAGAGCCAAGCCGCTGCCTAAGCCAAGCCGCTGCCTAATGATGAAACTCCATAATGTATTAGAAAACATAACTTATTAGAAAAGCAAATAGGCTATAATGTATTGCGATCAAAGTGCGATAAGTGGTGCACGGGATCCTTTCAAGAAAATGTTTTTTATACAATTAGTCACATCGGAGCGCGGTCGGGTTTTGCTAGTTGTAAATATTTGCAAAATAGAAGTGGTAGCTCGTATTGTTAATCGACGCTCCACGGGGCAACGTAATGCCGCCGTCGCCCAAAACATGTCTTGTCGGATCCTCCAGATCCGCTCTCGATGCTTTTGGGTTCTTTAAATACCTGATGGTACAAAGAGCTACGAAGGGCTTTCAGGGACACGACCTTCAGAAATGAAGTATGCGACTAAGAAGAAGAAGAAATACCAGTCATCGTTCTCGTCGAACTCGTCGATTTTGAAGAGTTCAACGTGCGAATTAGCTCATGGATACAACCCACTGAGTTTCTCGTTCGATCATCTAAGTGGATTGCGATTTCGACATGGTGGTAGATTATGCGAATCACTGTTCTTGCTAGGGCCAGTTTTAAAAAGCTCTCAGGTTGGGTCCGTGAGCTCATCTACCAGTGCGTGAGTAGCTAAAATAGCCTCTTGGGCTACCAGCGTATAGGTACGACACAAGTCAACACAGCTAAGTATTGCTATTTTATGCGCTCCGCATGTAATGAGCCGCCTTGCGTCCGGTCTGCATCTGATGAAATTTTAGTTGGTTAAAATCCTACATCCCTACCTATCTTACCGCTCATGGCCTGTAGGTGGGAGTCTGTAGATTTCCTCGTGGCAAAAAAGGTACTGCTATCCTATATCTACTGAGAAGCCGTCTTATATTCAGGTTTGAAGGATGGGATATCTTATTTTTCTTTGGTCAGCATTAGATATTTCGAACATTGGATAAGATATGACTTAATGCCTTTTTTTTGTCAGGAGGAAATCGCCGGACTTCCGCCCTCCATTAGGGATGGCGGGCGGATCATGTCTGAGCCGAAACGACTAAAACCTCATGTCACTCAACAACCAACGTCCAAGCCTCGCATGAGACAGAACTCATGAAAAGGCAAAAGGGGGAAAGTGAAGCGTTTAGTGTGGAGCACATCTCTCTCATCACCCTCCCCCTCGGGACGCCGGACCGGCGATCGTCGGCGCTACGACCACCAGCCCTCTCGGTCGGCAGGCTATCCGAAGCCCGCCTAGATGGCGTCGGTTAGAGTAAGTGTGACTTAATACCTAGCACAATTCTAATATAAGCTCTTGGGTACATGTATGACAAGGTGTATAACACAAAATAAGCAGCTGGGATATTATCGACTATTTCAATGCAGAGTTGTAACAACGCTTACTATTAAACAAGTTACTTACTGAATATGACATAAATGGGGGTTTTTACTACGACAAAACCATTGTACATAGCAGAAAGAAACCATTTGTATAGATAGCATTTCTGTTCTAACGCTTCAAAACTAAAGGTGTAAAACTTATGATTTCTGCTCACATAATCAGATACTGCAAATGTCTTAAAAAAATCTTATATTTTTATTTATTTAGTTTTGTAACTAAAACTACCATGCATGAATGTTTCTATACCTTATGAATAATAATTAAAACCCAAAAACATGCGACCGATTTCAAGTTATCCAGTTTATTTTGCTTTATAAATATACCAAAGGTTCTGGACTGAGTATTCATTTCCTATACCTAAGTTTGATTATTAAATATATAATATGTATTTTGACGAATGATTATTTACATCATGTATCCAGAAGCTTTAGTAGTATTTATGAATGAAAATTTTCAAGAAATAACTAATTACATTTTGTGACTGTGTATTTTGAAATTAAGGAAGTTTCATTAGCAGTTTTTTTGTGTTTCATCAATTTTCACCAATACTACTTGAATGCCAAGACTAGAGCCCCAAAGCTGCATCCCAACTCACAGCTTTCGCATCAGCATTATATCATATTTAAGCACAGGAAGGCAGGAAACACTGATAGAAGGGTTTCCTGCCTTCTTCTTTTATACCTATAGGTTCAATACCATTTTAAGTGAAAGCATTTCCAAATATGAACCATAAAATGTTTTAGATCACACTCTTTCTTTCTGAACGGTGAACCTGTAGTATTGTAATTACATTTCTTGAAAATTCTCATAGCTAAGGGGAAGAATATAGAAGTGAAATACCATTTCATCCCAATGGCAGTCTTCTTACGCAGATAGCTTGACTCGTTGCTAGTAAGCTTATGTATGCCACTCTAAACTTATCATGCTCTTCATTGTCCTGAATCAACACAACTGGGTTAGTATCAGTTCACTAATGTTAGACCTCCACAAAAACTAAATTAGTTAATTAGGATGTTTTTTTTTTTCAAAAAGTCACTGATTGTGAAGAAAAGAATCTTGTGCTTCAAAGTATCCTTGAAATCACCAAAACTAATTACATTATAGAATTTGTTTGTTATATTTAACTTTAGTCAAGTAGTTTTCTTATTTAAAGAAAAAATTGTCATCTACTATTTTTGACAATTTAAAATGATAATTCTTGGATTTAAAAAACTTATGTTTTAAAAATATTTGTTAGTCTGTGGAATTTTATTTGAGTAAACAAAAAAAATTCACTGTGAAAATGATGCGGGTGGTGTATATTTTAATGTAAATCCACACTTTTAACATAGTTTTCCCACAAAAAAATGATATATTTCTTCCTAAGATAGAAGTAATAATGAAACCTCGTTCCCACATTGTAAGAAAGATTATTCGAATGTTTCGTGAAGAAGCAAATATAAAATCTAAGAACTCCAAGCAGTGGGCAACCTGGCAAGCGCAACGCAATCATTCCAGCCTACCTGCACGACTTTTTACATGTTGACCTCTTTTGCGTTTAGACACATGACCGGCAAGTACTCCAGACATTTTACAATAATTCCTTAATGCAAATACTACGTGTTACGACGTTTTTATTGATACAATTTTTTTAAACAGTACTCACAATCTTACATGCACAATTTTATTTCTTCATTTATTACACGACAGTACTTAAAAAAATTGCACTAGATTTAAGGCATAAGTTAAAGAACAGATCAATCTCGAAATCACAATAAAAATAGTTATTTTTTATCCTAACGAACTTCTGTTTTATCTACAAGAGCGTGCATGGAAATCACAGCAACGTACATAACACAATAGAAACTGGAAATTCATTAACTTGACTGGAAGGAAGATAAAAATGATTTTCATAAACGTCAATACTGTCACCTTATTTGACTGTTTGACCGTTGATTTATTTTGACATTATTCTTTTATAAGGGCTTTTATGACCTGGCAATTAAGACCTTTAAGTCAAATCTTATTTTAATTTAAATGCTTATTTTTATGAAGAATGATAATATGGAGTGAAATGAATTAGAATGAAATGAAGATGATTAATTGGAGACATTAATCAACTGGGATGAAATTAAATGAAATGAGATTAGATGTTATGAAATGAGATGAGATGGGATGAAATATATAATCCCAGTAAAATGGTGGTCATTTACTGAGATTTTTCAGTGGACTTTTCGGAGGATCCCGAGAAGTTACGTCCAGCGGCTTTGTTTCATTTTCCCACATTTGTACACTTTCACAGATATTGAACAGTTAATAACCCATAGTATTACACATTTAAACCTGAAGAAACACTAAATAGACAAAATAAAGCAAATCACACAATTTCACTCCTCGCGTTCCCGCCCAAAAGTCTTTTTTGTCGCTTAGCCTGAACCATGTACAGATTAGTGATATTACTTCTACTAAAACTGTTTACAATAGGTTCGATACTCGCCGAGTGCAACTTAATAGACACGAATATGTGTTTGAAAATCACCCGCTAGGTACCTACTTGGTATTTGCCACAAACACCTCCACTTTCCGAAATATATATTAACGGTTAATGGAATATGGTAGAGTAAAATTCGTTCATCGAATTCATCACAAATTACAAACCGCTTGCGACAAAGTTCACGAAATAATTAAACAACAACGAACTTGTGTACAAAACACACGAATATAAACCAATACCAATAAGAATCAACCTTTGGAATTTTACCAGTACTAAGAGTTTAAGACAGCGCGCGGTGAACGGGTATTCCCGATCCTGCGGACAGAATGGAAAGCAGTCGACGTCGCCCAAAACACGTCATTTCGGAACCTCCCAATCCACTAACGGTGCTTTTAGGTACCTCAAACACCGGTCATCGTTCTCGTCGAACCCGGCGCTTGCGACGAAGTGCTCGGCGAGTAAAATAACCCACAGTGACAACCCACTGAGTTTTTCGCCGGATCTTCTCAGTGGGTCGCGGTTCCGATCCGGTGGTAGATTCTGCGAAGCACAGCTCTTGCTAGGGTTCGTGTTAGCAACGTCGTCAGGTTTAAGCCCCGTGAATTCACCTACTAGTTAAGGTTACGCTGAAATAGCCTCTCAAGGCTATCAGCTTAGGTAGGAAAAAAGAAGGTGAACAGGCGAATATCGTGGCGAATGCAAATTCATGCTGATATTCTCATGACTATTCGTCTGTATTCGGCGAGTATCTAAGTGAGGCATTAATATTTAATGACATTATATCTGTCAAAAACATTGGTATAGTGTTTATATAATTATACGAGTATTATGGATTAATACTTTTGGGTTTAATGGTAAGGTAATAAATCCTAAAAATAAGCAAATATTATGTTGCATTCATAATTCAATTTGTGTTTTTTATTGTGCTTAATTTCGTATATTTTGGCAAACAGATGCTTAGAAAAGTGGTGATAAGTTCTATGGGGGCTATTGCTTTGGTTCCGGTTATCAAAGCGGCCGCCCCTATCAACGAGGCATCAAATGGTCCCGCGAAGCCTCCACCCATGCGGGTATCGGAACTACCATTATATGAAACCCCACATGCCGATTATGCTGAGTGAGTAAAATACACACTAGTACGAGGGGTGAAAAAGCCGTTGCACAATATATTAGAGACTTCGACGTCATGTCTCAATCTGGGCCATCAGCTTGTGTAGATGGGTACACATTAGTGAAATTTTGAATATCGCTAATTACATAAAACTCAATCTGTATATAATGGCACTAAGGCATTAATTAGCTGGCCGGCAAATCCATTTCCTTTCATTAGAATTTGATTGGTAATTGTGACAAATTCAAATAGAAATTGTATTAAAATATTTTTTTAGATATATTCAAACTCAAGTTTCTAAGTACAAAATGTACATATTTAGTTTTTTTGTAAATATTACTTGAAAATTTGTGTTTTCACTACACATTTTTTTTGCTTAAAATTGTAATTAATGTAAAGGTTAATTTTGAAATGTAAAGTTTAGTTTTAAAAAGAATAATTAGAAAACAGCTTTATCAAATTTAACAAAGGTTTTTTTCTTTCTTTTAAGGTATCTTGAAGCCAAAGCCCATGAGCAGAAGACAAGTTACCTAAAATCAGCATTATTACCTCCAGTACGTGCTCTAAGAGAACAAGTGCAAACATTTGTAGATCAGACAGATTTCATCAAACACTCCATTCAGGATAACTACCACGAAATCCAGGATAAGTCAGAATGTAAGAGCTGTTTGCCTCTAATGTAGCTTTTTACCAATACTGGCCATGTGAAAAGTAATTTATCTTTAGCTGGCAATAAATTTGAAATTCTATTGTATTTATTATATTGTCTCTTCGCATTAAAAGTGTACTATTTCCAAAAATATTTGAAATTGAGTTAATATGTAGAATCATTTGGTATCACCAGTACTTTTCTCATAAATACTGTCAAAAGAGCAAAGTTTAGATTTTTTTTTTTAGTTTATTTACGTTTTGACTACTATAAACAAAATTAATACATAATTTTATCTTACTTTAAAAGATAAATAATGTAACTGGTTAAAAGATATATTAAAAATATCACATGTTAAACCTTTAAAACACTCCCCTGTAAAATTAGTAAGTTTTGAGATTATACAGTTTTAATGCAACAAGACGATATATTAATTCTATTTTGAAATGTTTAAATTTTCAGTAATTTTTTTATTGATTTCTGTGTTGTTTTCACTACATTTGTATTTTTTTCATCAACATGGATATGATAAGAATACTAAATAATATGGAATACGAGTTCCGTCGCCGTAGGAATACGGCACAATATTAATGATGTGTATTGAGTGAATGTTACAAACAAAAGCACAACTTGCTATTGGTTTGAACTCTGAAGACATGGACATGTTGATCTAAAAAATGGACCTAGTGGTCACCTGAAAGCTAGTGCCAACAATGAAGAATTAAAGGCAATTGTGGAAGCTGACGATACTCTATCTACCCATGACTTAGTAGCAGCTCAACTTTAGCAAAATCATGTCATAGTCATAGTCATAGTAGCATAAGCTGTCATATTGGTAGATTTAACACCTAGATAATGCCCCAAATGAAAATATACACTAACACGTCATAGTCACTGTTTGATGGTATAGTGCTGATATATTTCATCACAGCTCCTTGTCAAACAGTGACAACATTTCTGTGTATGTATGCTTCAAGGAAAAGAATTTCAACAGAGAAGCTCACCAATGTCCAGCCAGACTTGGTTATTCACTCGTTTCCAAGCTGCTGCTATATGACAAAATTCGACCTCATATGGCACAACAGTCTAAGCTACAAGAGCTATAATTCGAAGTTTTCATCGTTCATTCTACTCACTAGAATGTGCGCTGACAGACTTCTATTTCTCTAATTTTTTTATAACTTCTTACTAAGGAAAAAATTCAATAACTGAGAAGATAAAGAGTTTGTTGGCTCCCATACACCTGACTTCTTTAAGAAAGAAATGAAACACTTAAACGACGTCATTGGCAGATGCATTGATGCTATGTTTCATAGAAATAAATGATATATTACCAACTTTCTGTAAACTGAACGAAAATTTAGTAGATAAAGACCTAATACATATTATGTTTATTGTGCCATGTATCAAAAACATTAAAACAATCAATGATAGAAAACAATATAATTGTTTTAAAATAAAATTAATTCCTAACCGTATATACTATGTGGATGGAGCGTGTGAATGACGATATGAAAGAGAGAGAGAGGAGTGAGTGTTGAGATGACGGCTGATAGAAGAGAATGGAAGAGAAAAATTAGCTGTGCCGACCCCACCTAGTGGAATAAGGTGGAGTAAAAGAAGATTATAGTCTAATTAAAATCAATCACTCCATCTTTAGCATTAAAGGATTTCAAAATCTCCTTATAACAATAATATCTAAGTTAGCCTCCATATTATATACTCGTAATTTAATAATCAGTATAATTACATGTTTCTACATAATTATTTTGATTCTATTTCAGGGATCTTTAAGTATTTGCGCGAGGAAGAAAATAAAGAAGTAAGATATGGAGCTGTTGCAATGGGTGGTCTCACAGGCTTCATATTTGGACTCAGGGGTGGATTTATTAGGGTTAGTTGCGAAACGCTTATATTATGAATTAATGTAATGAATAATTTCAGTATGTAAAATGTATACAATTGATTCAAGTTCATTGCACAAGAAAAATTTTTAATATTATTTGATTTTATGGTAGTTGTAGAACTCTCAACTGGAATAATTGTAATTAGTCCTAATCATAATAACTTCAAAACAAAGAAAACAAGAAATTTCAATCATTTTTTCAAATTTACTCACTTACAAAATATAAGAGTGGAAAATGAAAGAACAATAAAATTTTCAGAGAATGATATATGCTGGTGCGGGCACCACAGCAATGGGACTAGTTTGCTTCCCTGAAGATACTAAAGAAATTTACAAGAACAATTCTGTCCTAGCTAAGCAGTACATCAATATTGCATATAATTTCTTATATGGAGGTAATATACATTTGTTGAAGCTTTTATTATACCTATATGCCCCAACACCGGTTTATTATAAGCCAGGTACCACCGCCCTGGCATTCTGGATTAAAGACTGGGATAGTTAGACTTTGTGTCTCAAGGTGGGAAGTTGGATTGAAGTCTCAGTTCTGTTGGAAAAATAGTTAGCTCACCTTTCTAACCTGAACCCTTGGTTGCCTCTCAATAAATATTGAACAGAATTTTGTTGAATCTCGATAGGAGTTAAATGGAGGAGTAGAAGTGAAGTAGGAAAGTATGGTGAGCATTCTAGTAGAATGCTCTCTACAGACTGATGGTGTTGTTATTAAAGCAATAGTTCAAGGAGACTAGTCATATGTAACTTGTGATTAATAGCTGAAACATTAATTACAAGTCCAGTTCTCAAGGTTTTTTCAAACTCTTAGTGCATTTTTATATAGAGTACACAACGCATATTCTTATGTTTGACGAGTTACATATTTTGTCATCAGTGAAACCAGGTGATCCACAGCTAGAAGTGAAATTCCCAGAGTTGTCTTTACCTAAAGATTTCTCGGAATTTGTCGAGATGACAGTTTCATTAGCTTCATCCTTCAAACAGGCTGTAATGCCACCACCCAAGGAGGTTCCTGAAGTTTCTAAATCATCAGAGAAAGCTGAATAGGTAGAATGGATGCTGATTTTTATTGGGATTTGCATGTAGCCTGTTCCTTGCTTGGGTCTTTGCATGGTCTTTTCTATGTACATTTGAGCATGAGCATATGAGCACACTTCATATTTTCACCCCATTTTGTTTGTTTAAAAAATATTAATAGCTATTTTCTGCGCAAAATAATCCTACTGTTGCTTAAAACAGCTTGGGTCTTGGTTCTGAAATGCTCTACTTTAATGAACTTTACACAAATGTGATGTTCTTGTTTCAGTGTCTTAAGCTATCTTCACGAGATGGGACATCATGTTAGTGAAAATATTTATGGCAATAAATTAATTTAGCTAATATGGCTAAAATGTTACAGTGATAATAAACGGACATTAAAATAAATAAATGAAATATTTAATTATTGTTTTTATTTCTCGAAATATATACGAATTTTAGTTAAAATTACATTCTTTTGATTCTAAAAGTGGATGTTTAAAATGTGTTAGAACTAAAGTAACTATAGACTTTATAACTTGCTGGTGACCATGATGGTAATTTACCTATTGCTTATTATTTTAGACTATAACTAGGATTGTCAGGCGAATATCATCTCTTCACGTCTTTTCTTTGTTACGACTGTCCCTGGCTTATGTTGAGCCTCAGGGTGGTTCATAAGTTCCGGTGGACATGTAGATACGGAGCTTGCCAACAAAACCTGCTTCAGATCATAGAACAATGCGGAGTCTTCTTTTGTAACAAAGGACATAGCTTTACCAGTTTTTCCTGCACGACCGGTACGGCCGATACGATGAGTGTAGTCTTCAATAGTCTTCGCCATATCGTAATTAATGACCATACTGACATCTTTAATGTCAATACCACGACCTGCCACGTCTGTCGCCACGAGGATATCTTTAGCGCCCCCTTTGAGACTGGCAAGTGCAAAGTCACGTTGTTCTTGGCCTTTACCACCATGCAGCGTACAGGCATTGAAACCAAGTTTTTCAAGTCCCTTTGCAAGAACATCTGCACCTTTTTTCTGGTTAACAAAAATAATAATGGGTGGTTCGACACCACGCTGCAAAATCTCTGTAAGTTTTCTACGTTTTTCATTCTCGCCTATCATGTAGACTATTTGTTCAGTTCTGTCTACTGGTTTTCCTACAGATCCAATATATACAATAGCCGGTCTTCTGAGATAACTTCTAGCCAGCCGCTCTACAGCCGGAGGCATTGTTGCCGTAAACATCACAGTTTGTCGGTATTTCTTTTTTGTGTTATAATTGGCAAGCAATACTGAAGCATCTTCAGCTGCATCACTATCAGGTTTTATGTTCGATACAGGCATGTATTCCAGGATTTTTTGAACATCCGGTTCAAAACCCATATCAATCATCCGGTCAGCTTCATCAAGAACAACATAGGTACAACGGTTTAGTACTAAATATCTGTTGTCTAAGACATCAATAAGACGACCGGGAGTGGCAATGACAATCTCACAGCCTAACCTCAGCTTAAAACCTTGTTCTTCACGAGATAAACCTCCAACAACCACTACTGATGTGATACCAAGAGGAATACCAAATTTATTAGTTTCTTCTTCAATTTGTTGAGCCAATTCACGTGTTGGAGCTAAAATTATAGCATAAGGTCCTTGGTCAGCATCTTCCATACGTTCACTCTTTGGCAGAGATTGAATCCATGTAAGTAATGGTATAAGGAATGCCAATGTTTTACCGGAACCAGTTTCAGCAACACCAATAATGTCACGGTTCTGTAATCCAATTGGAATAGCCTGCCTTTGAATAGGAGTTGGGCTCTTATATCCAACTTTGTTGATTATGTCCATAATGTCAGTATGCAAGGGCGCTTCCTTCCAAGAACGTATAGGGTTAGGAATTTTACCTCCTTTTAAGGTAATATTGTAGTCTTCCCTGAATATCCTCCAATCACGCTCTGTCATCTCATCCACATCTTTCTCAGACCAGTGTCTATCATCCCACTTTTGCTTGTCTTCCTTCTTTTTCACTTTCTTCAAGCGTAGTTTTTCTTGTTCTTTCTCTAACTCAGTTCTGCGCTTTTCTAAAAGATTCCCATAGAATTTGCTATGGTCTTTCTTTTGAGACTTGATATCTATACCAGCAATGTGTCCACGACCAAAGAATTGTACTTGATGTCTTTCTTTGTACAAAACATTATAATCATTTGATGTATCTTCTGACGCATCCCAGTCAAAAACAAATTTCCTGTCATTCAGCCGTCTTACTCTACGCTTTTTCTTTACTATACCTAAGTAACGAGCTTTAATAGCCTCTTCTTCTCTTTCTTTATCTTTTGTTTTAGATGTCTCTTCATTATCTTTTTTTGGTTCTCGACGATCTGAATAGGCTTTCCTCTCTTCATATTTCCTTTCCCGTTCCTCTCGACGTTCCTTTTCTCTATCTTTTTCACGTTCTTCTCTGTGCCTTTTATCTTCTTCACGTCTTGACGGACCTGTTAAATCAATAGTGACTTGAGGCTTATCAGTATTAGCTCTTATAGCTTCTACTTCTTGACGCCGTTTCTCCAAAGCTATCTGTGCTCGTTGCTCTTTGGTAAGAAATACTGGCTTACTGCGGGCTTCTTCCTCAGCCTTTTTCTTAGCAAGTAGTTCTTCTAAGGACAAAGGCTCTTTTTTAATTGGTTTTTTATCTATGGATTCATCCTCTTTCTTCATGTCTGCAGTGTCTTCCTCTTCATCTTCTTTTTTTGATCTACTCTTTTCCTTGTCTTCGTAACGTCGATCTTTGTCTTTGCCGTCACGCTTCTTAGGGCTGCGCGAACGGCCGCGTTCTTTACGTAGCGGACTCCTGGAACGATCGCGATCTTTTCTAGAAGGGCTTCGAGCTTTATCCGCATCTTTTTTAGGGCTTTTAGACCTGTCCCTGCGCTTTACTTTTTCACGATATGATTCGCGTTCATCGTAACGATCCCGATCTCTTCTATCTCGTGATCTTGACCTCCGCCGTTCAGGACTTCTGTCTCTGGCCATTTTTGGTTTATGGAACCACCGGTTTTTATTTTGGTAATTTCTTTATAGGTATTATACAGCAAATACAATAAAATTAAATTCGGTGTATTTTTCATGTACAAAATGTAGCAGTATGTGAACAACTTCAATGTCACATTTTTGTCAATTTTGACATTAACATAATTTGTGAACTGTCAAATGGCCCTAAAAACCACATAGACCTTTAAACTAGGGACAAACATTCTTAGCTACTCACTTAATTCTTAGTGAATATCTGTGACCTTGCTCGTTCACGAAGCCCGCTATAGAAAGCAAAGTATTAAATACACTTGACATTGGCGAAATCTAAAAGGAAACGCCATAAACCTAAGAGATAGATAGATAAACTAGGGACGCGACATATTGTTCTATTCTATACTAGACTTGCGCAAAACATCACTTCTCAATGTAATGTGATATGACATCACTTTTACAGACAGGTGATATTACTCGAAAACATTACACATCACTTTTAACATTACTCGGTGCGTTCAATAGATACTGTGACGAATACAGATCGTTCACCGTAAGTTGTCCCCTGCCGTGATGTTGGCACTATTGCTTGTCATTTTTGTCAATCTGTTGTTGTCAGATTGTCTGTTGTGACGTGTGCCGTTAGTTTTTGTGTTAATATTACGGTTTTACATAACAATAAAACCGATATTATGTGCCGAGAAGGAAAACATACAGCATTGTATTATGAAGAAGCAGTGTGTACTTAGCTTAGATTCCTTGTCTATGTCCAACCATAGACAGTCAATTTAGTTCCATCTTTAGCCGCTAGGTGCTGCCAGCAAGTATAAAGGGAGCGCAGCCATCTTTGATCTTCATAGTCTTCACCAGGAAGAACTTCCTGCAATGCTGTATGTTTTCCTTCTCGGCACATAATATCGGTTTTATTGTTATGTAAAACCGTAATATTGATGTGCCTNGCGGCTGGTGTTATAGCTGATAAGGCAACAAGATACTCTTTAAGGGTTATTCCGTCAATAGAATCCAATATTATGGCTTGATCTTTTTTTGGAAAACATGTTGAAGACGTTACGTTGGCATAACTTGATGGTTTGGGTGTTGATGGCATCATTGTGGGTTGTGACGTTGTTGGTTTTTGGGACGTTGGGTGACTAAACATTATTTTTGTAGGGGCTCCTGTTTCCAGGAGTAGCCCTATTTAAATACACTATGATCACAATTAATGTAGGGTACTTCACTAACTCGTAAGTAGACAAAACACGACTCCGACTGAACGACGTGCGGCACGCGCATCCACTGTGACTACTCGAATGAGACTGATCAACACATTTATTAACAACACAAATTATGTAAGCCAACGTAATATTGACGTCGCAGGAATCGTGACTCTTCCGCTAAGCGTTTTCAATTAGTCCTCACCCCAATACTGTTTGTGAACCACATTCATTTCGTTTTATTTTCTCGCCGTTAAATCTACAGAATATGAAGTAAAAATCCCCGAGATTTCCTGCTTCGAACAAAATACTTTACACGTGTAAGTGTACTCGCAAGATTTGTTGTGGCTTCTGTTAATAATTCGATTTCAAAACCCGAAGTTACGTGGTTTTTTTTTGGACGATGCCGTTAGTCATGGAGTCCTGGTGGAGTGCAACCCAAACACGTAACCTTGAGATAAAGTATCGATTTCAATGAATGATCAAACGTTTCACATTCAATGGCCGAACACTAGAATTTTCTCATGCCTCATAGGTACGGATAAAAATAATAAATCCCGAACAAATAAAAACCAATCACTGAATACAAAATACTAAAAAAAATGCAGAAACCGACATGGAGTAAAATTCGCTAAAAAGGGATTGTAAAATACTAGATTAACGAGATTTTCTAACGCTAGATCCACCCTTCAAGCCGGAACGCGCGGCTGCTCCATAACAGAAAATGTTCGTATTAATTAAAACACTACCGGCGCTTTGTTAGTTGCATGTCATTATAGGAGATAATAGGAGGGTTGAAATCGGAGTTCAAACACTCACTGGGCTGTGTGTTCGTGATAAATAATATAAAAAGTATTTATAAACATGCTTTTTATTTAGCTGCTATCCGTGGGTTAGTCCAGGTGTTGTGTTAGTATTCTTTTTTCTGAAGGAAGGATTACTGGTGGTCTGGAGACCTTTCCAGTTTCACAGAGAAAAGTAGGCGAGCACGAGCTCAGTCAGGAGGGGTGGGTTTTGCTAACAGCTACCTGAGCGCCTCTAAAGGACCTAATAACTCAAGAGTAGCTGTTTCGCGAATGAATCTACTACCGGATCGGAATCGCGACCCGATGAGAAGATCCGGCGAGAAACTCAGCGGGATGATGCATGGGTTAGGTTGCACGTCGAACTCTGCCGAGTTCGGTTGTCGAGGTCCTTAAGCCTGCTCAGCTGCAAGAGTTATTAGATCTGATGGATCCGTAAGGACGTGTCTAGGGTGTCGAAGCTGACTGGCTTCTGCGTATTATTTCTGAAGTATCACGTAACTTTTCTAAAGGTTTGTCAGGGTAAAAAGTAGCATAATAATATGTCACACTCCTGACTTAAAACGATTACTTTAAAAAAAAAAAAGTCAATCCATTGCTTCGTTTCAGCGTGAAAGAAGAACATACAAACAAATAAAAACACTTTTATATTTTTATCATTATTAACTATGGAAGTATGGTTGTACGTGATTGTACATGAATGTATGTGTATGTACATGTATGTATGTGTCTGTATTTGATTACGCGAGAGTAACAGCGCATATGAACGACATTCAGCGCCTGCCTCGCTCGCGGGCGTGCAAATTTCAAAGCCCTGAATCCAACATTCCAGTGCATATCCTTTCCGTGGTATGGAGTTTTCAATCGTTGCCTAGTCGAATCAGTGTAATTAAAACAAAATACTCATGCAAATTTTAAAACGTGTCGCTAGTGAGAAATGATATTACAGAATACTTTAAAACTACCGTCAAATTCGAGATGTATCGAAGGTATTTTTTTGGTTTGTTCTCAATTAATCGACGACCAGTGTTTCTCAATGCTGTCAAACTTACGAACTTGGTTCTGTACGAAGCTCTTTATATAACAAAATGCAAAACAAATGTTCAAAGGTACTTACTTAAACCAAAGGCTCAACGGATCTAAAACGATTGGAAATCTAAGCACTAAATTTAATCTTCACGAGGACGGAACGGGGAGAGACATGCCGCTTCATTGCGGAAATGTAAAAGTACAAGGAAATGAACATCTTTACCATCGGAGGTTTTATTGCCTTCAAAAGTAGACTAGCCGACGGCTTAAGGCATAAGGAGGTCAGATCACGGTTCTTAAAAAAAAACAAAATTATGATGTGAATCAGATTTTTAAAATCAGCTGCGTTCGCTCATTTCTCGCCACGCGAAAGAAAACTTTTTCGATAAAACATACTTCACTCGGTCCTGTTCGTTGTTTATTTTTAAAATCGGTCAAATCGCCGCTCTTAAATACAAAAGACAGAATCTAGACATACAGACTTTAACCATTTTTCAAACTGGCCGGACAAACTACGCAACGCTGCGGAACAGTTAATTACGGGTGACATCATTTAAATTTGACGCCAAAATAAGTGACGACATAAGCGTAAAAAAAAAAAAAAAAATTAAATATAAAACACGAGAATTAGGCTCATTAAAATATTAGAAATAACACTAGTAGTATTTCAGATGAAAAATATATTTTATTTATATTTCTACATCTATAATAATAAATTTACTCACGATATTGGCATAATTTTTATAAAAAAAAAACATGAAAGATTCCGTTACTTGTTTATACTATGCGCTTCAATCTCCCAGACAAGAAGCAGAATGTGTGGGGACCCCTCTCCACCTCGTCGGCCGTCGCTAATCGGCCAACAATCGAGAGATTTCTTCCTTGCAATTATCGGGAAAGGTCGACTTTTTATTTTTTTAAATTTAATTTATTAATTTAATAGAATACTTTCTTTTTTAAATGAAGCTTAAGAGAGGAAGGCTAACTGACATCTAAATGTTGAAATGCAACGCATTACTCGAAATTCTTCTGAATTCTTTGACATGCTCTTAGGAATAAAATATTTCAAAGCGTAGGAATAGCTTCGTGTACACAATAAAAATCAAAACCTTCAAAAAGTATAAACTAATAAACATGTGTGATCATATATACACGTCGTCTTGTGTCAAATAAAACTGAAAATTAAACTGACATTTTTTAAACAGTCTTATTTACATATGTCTATTATCGTTTCCGAAAAAACCACAATTCTGAGAAGAATTTGCGAAAAAAATACAGCGTGTAAAATTGTTTAGAAAAAATTATCTTGTGATTCTTTTTTACTTAACTAAAGTAATTAAATTTTCAAAACTACACAATAGTATAATAGTATTTAATATTACAAAGTTACAACAGATTTAAATTAAAAAGGTCAGAACAAGCGCCTCTCGAATGCCTCTTGTGACTTGAGGTCCATGTCTCAATAATAGACTAATTACGCAAACTATAAAATTTGCGGGTTTGATTGTTATTTCACGATGTTAATCCTTCATCGTAAAAATAATTTGAGAACATGCCTGTGCTTATTTAGTACATATGTCGTTAGAAAACCTCGTACCTGCCTACCTATTATGAGTACAAGTGGAGTTAGTTCCTTATATCACGATATCTTTTAAAATAAACGAACCCGTAATTCAACGCTTCGTGAGATTTTGTAGAAAAGTTCAAACACGGCCCCTCTAGCCGTCAGCAGTACAAGTCTTTTTTATTTTTCTAGTCTTCATTCGATCGCAGACTATAAGGAAACCGCAAAAAAATTAATGTCAAGCTACGTTAAAGCTACAAATTTTATTACCTTCAATTTATCTTCCGACGATTGTATAGTGGGCATATTAATAATAAGCATAAACACAAGCCCTCTTCTACAGGATAAAACTCTATTCGACAGCGGCAGCATTTTTACACAGGACACTAGAGCTATTAATTATCGTATCAATAATTTTGATTTAAATATTATAAGTTGATGAATTTAAAATATAAAATTTGTTTTGGAGTGCAGTAAAATTTACTGTAATCTACTTTAAATTTGTAACGAC